GCGCAGGGGAGGTACTGCCCGCGTGTCGCCCCGTGGCAGAGACCCAGGAGCGGGGGTCAGGCGGCATTCACACCGTGGGGGCGGGTGGACAGAGCTTGTGCCAAAGAGCCACACTGGGTCAGCAGTGCCACCTTCGCAGCCTCTGCGCTCGGCCCTGGCTGTCTGGCTGTGCGAGCGCTTCTGAGCCAGCGCCGAGCTCTGCCTTCCCTTGGGGTTTGGTGTCCCGGCACCCGCAGACCCCGGCCGGGCGGTGCGTGGGTCCTGCGAGGGGCCCACCTGGCACCCGGAGCCCAGAAATGGGGGGCTGGGTGTCCCTGTGCTATGAGCAGGGCAGGGGCTGGGGCGATGGGCCCCACACACAGGTGCACACACAGGTGAGGGTGGTCATGGGCACTGGGGTGAGCAGGGAGGTGGGGAGGCTGCTGTGGGGGACCCCGGAGGTTGGAGGGCGCGGGAGGTGGTTGAGCTGAGCTGTGGGGCTGCCTGGTGGCAGATGGGGAAAGAGTCGGGCAGGACGATAGCAGTCACGGGATGCTCCTCCTTCCCCTTTCCTAACTGTAATTTTCTGTGAAAATGGCTAAAGGTCTTGCTGAGTGAGCCACAGTGAGGGTTCCTCTGGGCAGGTGACACCTGGAATGCACCCTCTGTCCCCTGGAATGCCAAGCAGCAGGCACCCTCTGTCCCCTGGAATGCCCGGGTCTGGCTGGGGCGGAGAACTGCACTGGAATGTTCCAGAGCTCCCCCCTTCCTGCTGTTCTGAGTCACTCTGCCTCCGCAGAGGCGGCAGCAGCGAGCGGAGTCTTGCTGTGTCTGCCTCGTGCAGTGAGCCGTGGGCTGGTGACGCAGCAACTCAGGCAGGCGTGTGGCCTCTCGGGGCGCAAGCCACCCACGGGAGGCAGCCACCCCCGGCACGCAGCACCGCCGCCCGCGAGGAGGGCTGGACTGAGGGGAGGACGAGCCTGCCTTGTGGGTGGCGGGGAGAGGGGAGTGTGGGGATGAAGAGCAGTTCTGCGTCCTTGTTTACGCTGTCACTGCAGCGAATGCTCACAGCGCCCTCCCCAGGTGCACTGGTGGTGGCCTGCCAGTGGGGGCGGGGAAGAAGCTGGAGCCACCTCTCAGCGGAGCCCCAGCCCAGGCTCTGCCTGGGATTGTTCGGACCACGGGTCTGCGTGTCTCTTCCTCCAGCAGGTCGGGGAGTCCCCGATGTGCGTTGACAGGCAAAGCCCCTCTTTGGCTTTGGCCGTGACCTGCAGGGCGCTTCTCAGCCCGGGCCAGCGTTAGTTCCCCTTACGCAGTGACAGCGGGGAGTGGTGGCTTGCTGGGTGGTGAGCAGCAGCTCTGCCCACCAGGCTCTCCGGCCGAGACGCCGGTCTGTTCCGTGCCGGGAGTGGGTTCCCCAGTGGGGCCAGGGGCCTGGGCCAGGGCCAGCATCCATCAGAGGCACGTGGGAAGACGGGGAGCCCCAACCCTAAGAATCCCACCCAGGGCCTGGAGCGCCGCAGCAAGGCCAAGAGGGCAAGGCTTCCAGCGGGGTCCTGGAGGCTAAGAGAAGGGCAGAGTTGAGCGAGGGAGGCTGACAAGGCGGAGGTTCCGAGCTTTGGGGGTTCAGAGCGTGGCCGGTGGCCCTGCAGCCCCAGCGAGGAATCCACAGGAGGGTGGGATGAGGCTGGGTGGGGGCGTCGGGCCGTGGTCGCAGACATGCAGCGGGGGCCGCTGCACATCACCCCCGGACAGCAGCAGCCCCCCGAAAGCCTGGATTTGGAGGGTTTGTCTGGAGGTCGGGTGGGGAGTGCACGTCCAGGGGCAGGGCAGAGCGGTGGCACCGGGGCCAGTGCAGATGTCACAGGAGTGTAGCGTGCTGGGGTCACGCTGGCCTGCCTGTGCTGATGGCCGCCATGGGGCACCGGGAGAGGCCGGGTGACAGCGTGCTGCGGGGGGTAGGGGCAATGCACAGCATGCACCACCAGTGTCCAGGGGGCCGAGTGTGAGCCAGCAGGGCAGGTGGGCCCCGTCATGCGTGTCCACCAGACGGATCCCGGGACGCCTGGCCCGAGAGCTCGGACGGCTGCAGCAGGCTAACGGGGATGTCGGGAGGTGGAGTGTTTGTTGTGTTTGCTTTCGCTGTCGTCTGTGTCAGTTCCGCTACTCGGGTTTGGACTCTGGCCGAGTGTGACACTGACCTCATGCCTGCCTGCCCTGTCGTGGGGCCGGCCACCCTCTGGACAACAGTGTCACCGTCACCTTGGGGGAGAGAGCAGTCACAGGTTCCGCCCACACTCCGGGGGGTGTGCAGGGTGACTGAGGGCCACCGAAGGTCACTCTCAGAAGTCTCCCTGCCACGGGACCCCCACCGTCAATTTTGGGAGGGAGGTTTGCCGTAAAACGAGGTGTTTTGGCTGGGCATGGTGGCTCACACCTGTAATCCTCCTAGCACTCTGGGAGGCCGAGGTGGGAGGATCGATCAAGAGTTTGAAACCAGCCTGAGCAAGAGCCAGACCCTGTCTCTACTAAAAATAGAAATAAATTATCTGGATGACTAAAAATATATAGAAATAGTTAGCCGGGCATGGTGGCACATGCCTGTTGTCCCAGCTACTTGGGAGGCTGAGGCAGGAGGATTGCTTGAGCCCAGGAGTTGGAGGTTGCTGTAAGCAAGGCTCATGCCACAGCACTCTAGCCCGGGCAACAGAGTGAGACTCCGTCTCAAAAAAATAAAATAAAGTGTTTCTCTCCCCCAAGATGGCACATCCAGCAGCTCCCCGTAAAGTGGGCCAAGGTGGTCCTGATGGTCAGCAGGGCTCCGGGGCACCCTGCTCTGTTCCCATTTGAGGTGGCTCATCCACAGGGTGTCCAGGCCAGTCACCTGGTCTGCCCTGCAACCTGGGCGGGAGGTGAGCGCTGGGGAGGATCCAGCTGCTCGCCATGTTGGGGTCTATCAGATGGGGTCCAGCCTTGAAACGTGAACCAGAGCAGTCACGTGGACACAGCTTAGTAAGAGACAGTTGTTAAGCCAGGTACCGGGAGAAAGGAGAAGACAGAAGAGAACATGTGTAATCCCGGCACTTTGGGAGGCTGATGCAGGAGGATCACTGAGGCCGGGAGTTCAAGACCAGCCTGAGCAACGTATGGAGACCCTGGCTCTACAAAGAAAATTTAAAAATCAGCCAGGCGTGGTGGTGCCCACCCGTAGTCCCAGCTACCCAGGAGGCTGAGGCGGGAGGATCGCTTGAGCCCAGGAGTTGGAGGTTGCAGCCAGCTGTGATCGAGCCACTGCACTCCAGCCTGGGTGACAGAGCGAGAGCTCGTCTCTTAGAAAAAGAGAAGTGGAAGATACCAGGAAGGAGGCGCCTGCCTTAGGCAGCTGACCGTGGATGAAAGGGAAGAAAGAGGTTGGGTCATTAGAACTTAGAGCGGGGCGGGGGGGTGGTCCCAGCTGACTTGTGCTCAGGGGTCTTTGGGGGCTGTGAAGAGGACTCCTGCGAGTGGTGGAAAGCCACAGAGCAGGTTCAGCTGCCACTGTGGGAAGGAGCTGTCACTGCCCAGAGAAGAAGAGCCCAGGAAAGAGGAACGCTGCCAGGGCAGAGCCTGGCCGGAGCCAGGTCCTTCCCTCCCCCTCCAGTTTCTCCCCTCCCTCCTGGCCCTGCAGGGGTGCGGTTTCCAGAGTCCTGGCCCCGAGTGACAGGGCCGAACACAAGGGGGGTGAGCTTGGCTGGAGGATGAGTTTGACACCAGGAAACTCTGTTCTCTGGAGTCCACGGGCTCCCGTCTGGGCTCTCCTCCCGCCAGTGTGCCAGGGTCGTCTTGTCTTCCGAGTGGCACTTCCATTCGGTAGGTGTACTCTGGAAAGTCGATTGACAAGCTGCTTTTTTGATAGCGGTGTTTGAAATGGAGAAGCCAGCCCAGGGGCTTAGCACTCTCTCTCTCTCTCTCATTTAAAAGCAGAAAATAGCAACTTCGTTCCCAGATACCTTTGCCAGTCCCTAGGGATTAATTATCTACACACCCAGAAGCAGTGGGGCAGAATATTTTGGCAGGATTTTCAGGATTTGTGTCATTGCTGCCTAAAATCTTGTTTTTTCTGAGTTGATTAGAATTTTAAGGGATTTGGAAGACTGCAAACTGTCTGTGAATAGGAGGCCGAGGAATCAGGAATTTGCAAAGTGCCGATTTTAACTCTTTTGGTTTAGGGAGGCTGCTAATTTTTGTTTTGTTATTTTAGTGATAACACTGGGCTTAAAAGTATTCACCAAGAGAGGCCCTGGTGAATGCAGATGATAAGCACAGAGCTCAGTGAATGGCCACAGTGTGACCACCACCCAGAAGCCCTGCCCCACCCCCTCCTCCAGGGGCAGCTGCTCCCCTGACTGCTCCCACCAGAGACCCCCGCCCCCCCCACCTGTGTCTGAATGCTAAGGTGGGGCTCGGAGGGTGGGCGGTGGTTCAGGTGGAGAAGAAAAAGGTTTGGGAGGTTGTCTGCACACAGGAGACGCTGAGGACACCCGAGCCACTGCCTGGAGGTCTGGAGGGCGGCCACACGGCCACTACTCCCCTTGGGTCCCGTCCCCCTCCCTCTCTGGCCCTCATATGCACAGCCTCGAGCAGGTGCAGAGGGAGGCGGGGGCCAGCTCCCTCGGGGCGGGGGCCAGAACGCACGTTTGCACGGCGAACATGGCCGCGCAGCCCTTGTGCAGCGTCCGGACAGGCACACCAGTGGAATTTTCAGAATGAACCGGCAAGCGCTTCTCCGTTGAGTTCCGGCAGGCTGGGCAGCGGCCACCGGGTCTCCATCCTGAGGTCTGGTTGGTGCCCATCTCTAGCACGAGTCGAGTCTGGCCCGGGAGAGCCTCCTACTCCCCACACTGTGCCTCCCGCAGCCTGCGCCTGGGGGACCCCACACCGGCCCCGCCTCGGTCGCGCCCCTCTTCTGGGCACCTGCTTGCTGTGGGTTAACGGGACCCCGGACCTGGCTGTCCCACACCTGCTCCTCCTGTGTCTTGCAGGTGCTGGGCTTCGAGATCGACGCCGTGAACTCCGTCCAGTTCTCCAACCACACAGGTAAGGCGCTGGTCCTGGCGGCCGCACAGAGCTGAGTGGGGTCCGGGAAGTGGCCCTGGGGCGGCACCCCCGCGTGGAAGGGAAACAGAGCCCCAAGGTGATGCTCTTTGCGCAGCACGTCGGAGCGTGGGGCCCGGGTCTGCCTGGCCGCACAGTGCAGCGCCGGCTGCTTTGGAGCCGTGTTACCCAGGCAGGCTCAGTTCCCTTCTCTGAGAAGGGACGCCGGTCCTGGCACCCACCTAAGGTCTCAAGAGCTCGCTGGGTAGATCACACAAAATGCTCGGACATGGCTGTGTTGCTGCCGTCGTCTGCCGCGTGTCTCGCCTGTTCACCCCGGCCTGCCAGGGTGATGCCTGGGCGCGGGAGGAGGCTGCCCCGAGTGATCCTTCAGCTGGTGGACGTGTAGGTGGTTCCCCATCTCTCTGCCGACATCGGTGCTGCAGGGGGGAGCTTGCATGGGTCTGTCTGGGCGCTCGGGACTCCGAGGATCCCGCAGGCTCACGGTCGAGGGTGAGGGTCGCTGTCCTCCGGAGGCCCTGAGTGTCAGGAGCAGGGCCCAGGTCCCCACTGCCCCATGCCTGGGGACCCGAGGAGGTGCCTGGCATCTGCTCCACCCCACACTGTCCCAGTGGCGGGAGAACAAAGCCATTCGGTTCTTTGAAACACTCCACTTATCACCCCTCCTGAATTCGCCGCGGAGCCCAGCTGGAACCCCAGGGCACAGAACGTCCCGGAAGCAGCCAGCACGGCGCCAGCAGCATTTGCAGGTGGGGCCTCGGCCCTCCCGCTCAGGAAGGACGTCTGTGATTCTCCTGGATGCCATCTTCCTTGGGGAGGGCGTTCGTCACAAATCGAGAGGAAAGAATTAGGTGCCCGGCTCAGATGGCATGGCCCAGGGTCACCGAGAGCCCTCCTCTCCTGTCCTCGCTCGCCGTGCGTGGGGGGTGCCATGGGATTTGGAGAAGTCCCAGCAAGCTTAGCCCCCCTGGACCCTCCCTGAGACCACGTGTTGGTCTTGGCTGTTGATCCCTCCCAATTTATTTTTCAGTAAAATGAGCCAAACAGGCTTGGACGGCGAATGGGGGATTAACTTTATTTCTGGGCATTGCGTGGTGCTGTGATCAGCTGCCCTCCCCGTCCAGGATGGGGGGAGGGGCCCTCAGGGCTCCCCGAAAGCTTCTCAGAGGGTGGTAGACTGGCGTCCTGCGGGGTCAGAGACAGAAAGGCCTGCCCCAGAAGGGGCAGGTGCAGACCAGGCCCCCAAGAGCTTGGGAGCCCCTAAAGTACAGAGCAGGGTTACAGGGGTGGGGGCTCCCCTTCCAGTGGGGCCCACCTTTGTGGCTCCTGGGAGAGCCCCCAGCATGCAGAAGAGCTGCCCCTCTAGCCTCGCCCCCATGCCGTGCAGGCCCGCCTGGCTGGGGACCCCCGGGCAGCCCCATCTGTGGCTGGGACTTCTGCACCTGGCCCACAGGTGCCGGGTCAGGGTCTGCGCAGGCTCATCAGGGGGCTTCCGGGGTGGCCCCGCCCCAGGCCGCCTCTGGGGCCCCTTTCACCTGGTTCTCCCGGAGCCTGCCTGCACTGTGCTGCCGGGAAGTGAGGCTAGTGGGTCTGAAACCTGCCCCTGCCTCCTAGGAGCCATGGGAGCTGTAGCTGGGACGAGACTCGCGGCCCCCAGTCTGCCCCCGCCCTCCCCAGCCCAGGCTGGAGCAGGCCTGCCGCCCACGGAGCAGGACAGGAACGCTCTGTTCCGCGTCCTGGGCTGCAGACCAGGAAGTGCTGGATGTTTTCACAGAGGAGCTGGAGGCGCCTTGTTCTTTACGGTGCTGACCCTGGGGGCCTTCAGCGCGGCCAGCCCCTGGGCAGGAAGGACACGCTGCCCACGCTGCCCACGCCGTGCGCCCCCACTGCCCAGCGCCGTGGCCCAGGGCCTCGCTGCGTGGGCCGTCTGATAAGGCCCCGTCCTATGCTCCTTTCACCACGCGGCCCTACTGCGCGTGCCCGGGACACAGCTCATACCACGCATGACTGATATTCGAGTTCGCCCACAAACTCGCGTGCCCTGGTCAGCAGGTGGCCCTGGGGACATCTGGGTGGCTTCCACTTCCCGGCACTGTGAACCGTGCTGCTGCGCACATCTGTCTGCACGTTTCTGTGCACGTGTTGCCGTTTCTGTGCACGATACACCCAGGAGTTGGGGGGTCTCCCAGGTTGCGCCTGGTCCCCCAGCAAGCAGCTGGGATGGCACGCCTCGGTGGTGTCCTCGGAGGCTCCGTGCCCTGGGCCATTCCTGGGGCTGGACACGCAGGCGCCTTCCGCCTGGACGTGCCGGGATTCCAGACTCCCGGAGACGGAGCGGGTATGCGGCCTTGAGTCTGTGGTGCGGGCGGCCTCCCTGCCTCCGGCCGGCGACCTATGTCTGCACTTCCCCACCTCCAGCCCCCACGGGTCGCACCACACCCGCCTCAGTTTCCAAACCTGGGGCTGCTTCCCCCACAGGGCAGCCGGGCAGGAGAGCCACGAGCTTCGGTGGCGCCTGCACAGGGTTTCCGGAGCTTCCACCCCCAGCTCCCAGGCCTGCGGGCAGCGGGAAGGGCCTGCACGTGGCTCCTGGAATGTGGGGGGGGCACGGCACGGGGGGGGGGTGGCAGGGGACCACTGCTAGGCTCCATGGTCCTCACAGCGGAGGAGTGGCCCATGTGCACACAGGGAGCCTCAGGGCCCGAGAGCACTGGGGACAGGTGCCGGCGAGGGACACACACGGGGCCCAGCCCTGGCCAGGACCCCCTGGTGGGCTGGGGTGGGAGGGGGACACCAGCCCTCCCCCCGGGCTGCCAGAGGAGCCACTCACTTGGCCTCTGTTCTCTGTAAGTCGGGTGAGTTGGACGGAGGACCTGTCAGGACCCAGGTCCCGGGGCGGCTGCAGGCCGGGCTGGGATCCGAGTGCCTGTGCTGGACTCATTCCGGCGGGAACCGGCCGCGGAAGCTGGGCACTGCTGGCGGCAGCGATGAGGCCCCCAGCAGTGGGGAAGCGGGTGTCCTTTCTCCTTTCGGGGGCTTTGAGGCCCCCCACGGACAGGTATCGGGGACCTGCCACAGCACCACGTCTGGGTGGTCTCATTCAAGCCTGGCGCCAGCCCCTGAGCAAGGGCTGTCCCCCAGGTGTCCCGGGCAGTGCGGGCGGGTGCCAGGCTGAGCCGGGCACACGCCGAGCGGTCTGCTCTGCCCGCAGGCTACGCGCACTGGAAGGGCCAGGTGCTGAACTCGGGCGAGCTCCATGAGCTGTACGAGGGCCTGAAGCTGAACCACGTGAACAAGTATGACTACGTGCTCACAGGTGAGGTCCGGGGCCCGGACTCAGGGACCTGTGGTGGGCTCAGGCCCAGAGCACCTCCATCCCAGGCTCGCCCCGTGCCCTGCCTCCTTCAGGAGGGATTCTGCGTGTCTTAGGGCCGTTCCATGCCCGTGGGCCAATGACGACTGTCCTAGCCAAATCAGCCCCACTCCCATGGCCACGCTGGGGCTCCAGTACCTGGGAGAGGGCCCAGGTGGGCTGCTGGGAATGCTGCCTTGGGGCAGGAGGGGTCGCAGGTGAAATGCTTAGGCAGGTGACACATGGACACCTGGTGCATTGGTTCCCTTTGTCAGCTTCCTGGTTTAAAAAAAAATAACAATTTGAATTTTTATAAATGGCTATAAATGACATATAATAATTACTGAAAATGGAAAATAGGCCGGGCACGGTGTCTCACGCCTGTAATCCCAGCACTCTGAGAGGCTGAGGCAATAGGATAGTTTGATCTCAGGAGTTCCATACCAGCCCAAAGAAGAGCGAGACCCCATCTCTACCAAAAAGAAAGGGGAAAAAAAAAAACCCAGCTGGCCATGGTGGTATATGCCTGTAGTCCCAACCACCTGGGAGGCTGAGGTAGGAGGATCGCTTAGAGCCCAGGAGTTGGAGGTTGCAGTGAGCTACATTGATGCCACGGCACTCTACCCAGGGCAACAGAGTAAGACTCTGTCTCAACAAAAACAAGGAAAAAAAGAAAAGAAAAGAAAATGGAAAATAGGCCAGGCGCGGTGGCTCACACCTGTAATCCCAGCACTTTGGGAGGCCTAGGTGGGAGAATTGCTTGAGGCCAGGAGTACAAGACCAACCTGGGCAACAGCAAGACCTCTCTACCCAAAAAAAGAAAAGAAAGAAAGAAAAACGAAAATGGAAATTATAGAAAAAGGAAACAATTACCGTGTTTCCCCGAAAATAAGACCTACCCATAAAATAAGCCCTAGTAGGATTTCTAAGCATTTGTGCAATAGAAGCCCTACCCCGAAAATAAAGACCTATCCATGGGCGTGGCTACGCAGTGTATCTGCACAACCCATGCATTTCGTCGCAGGGCAGTAAAGAAGATGAGCAGCCCTTCTCATCTGCCCCGTGAGAGCTCTTGTGCTCGACAGGAGAGATCGGGGCCAATGGTTCTAAGGGAAATAGAGTCACAAGAAATTCAGGATGGGATTCAGGGTGTGGAGAGTGATGATGATGTTCCAGAAGAAGATGACTTAACTATATTTGAATAAATGTAGATTGTTGTACCGTACTCAAAAAAAAAAAAAAAAACACATCCCTGAAAATAAGCCCTAGGGTGTCTTCTTGAGGAAAAATAAACATAAGACCCTGTCGTATTTTCGGGGAACCACAGTATGAATACACCTGTAACCCATGGGTCCATTCCTTTAAAACTCAGTGTTCTTTGGGACACTGAGATGATCTTCCCCCTGTGACTACAGACCTGGGGAGACCCTCGCCTGGACCCACCTGCTGGGTCCCAGGCCCCCACACCCACTCTCCGTGCCCGAGCGGCTTGCTGCTGTCTGTTCCTCCCATTGCTGCCGTGGGTCAGTGCGTACCCCGTTTCCCAGGGTGACCTGGTCTCCCCCCCCCCCCCGCAGGTTACACAAGGGACAAGTCATTCCTGGGCATGGTGGTAGACATCGTGCAGGAGCTGAAGCAGCAGAACTCCAGGCTCGTGTATGGTAGGTGTGGGCCCCAGGCCAGGCCAGGCGGCCCTGGCCTGTCACCTTCTTGAGCGGGGCTGGCCTGGGAGCCCCGGGAAGGGACAGTGCAGCCCCTTTCTAATCAACGCCCTGTCCTTCGTGTCCTGCCCTCGGGGGCGCTTAGAAACACTTCCAAGGTGAACCTGGTATCTCATGCAGGTGTGGGCGGGAGGCAGGGTCAGGAATGTGCTCATGAGCCCTGTGGCTGTGACGGCCTGGGGGTGCTCGGGCACCGTGGGGTCCCAGCCTCGGGGTGTCTGCATAGGACGGCCTTGAGAAGAGGCAACACCAGCCACTTTGCAGACGAGTTCCCTTCCTGGGTGTGGTCTCCTGGGGTGCACGGTGCCCGCACACACTGGCAGGGCGACTCAGCACGCTGTCTGCCCGCCGGGGACTGTTCAGAAGGGAATGTGCTTGTCGGGCAGACAACGTGAGGCCTGGATTGGATGTTGGCGAGGCAGGAGGAGGGAAGGGGCTGCCGGTCTCGCTTGGCAGCCGTGATGAGAGGGGCACTGTCTGTGTCACTCATGAAAAAGCTGCAAGGGGCCGGGCGAGGTGGCTCACACCTATAATCCTAGCACTCTGGGAGGCCGAGGCTGGTGGATTGCTCAAGGTCAGGAGTTTGAAACCAGCCTAAGCAAGAACGAGACCCTGTCTCTACTAAAAATAGAAATAAATTAATTGGCCAACTATAAAAGCATACAGAAAAAATGAGCCAGGCATGGTGGCACATGCCTGTAGTCCCAGTTACTCGGGAGGCTGAGGCAGGAGGATTGCTTGAGCCCAGGAGTTTGAGGTTGCTGTGAGCTAGGCTGACCCCACAGCACTCTAGCCTGGGCAACAAAGTGAGACTCTGTCTCAAAAAAAAAAGAAAAAGCTGCAAGGGATCATAAATGAAGTCGAAATTAACTAGAGCATGGAGTCATCTTGGACAAAGAAATTCAAAGCGCCAGGTTACAGGAGAAATAAAAACGGAAGGCCACGCTTTTCCCCAAGCTTTTGGTTGTACTTTAATGTGTACAGGAAGTTCAAAATGTTAAGATGCTGTATCATACCAGCTAGGATGGCTATATCCCCCAAAATGGGAAGTAACAAGCATTGACAACAGGGTGGAGAGACTGGAACCCGTGTGCATTGTTGGTGGGAGTGTCAAACCGTGCAGCTGCCATGGAAACAGGCTGGTGTCTCCCCAACAAGTTAAACACAGCAGTTGCCATGTGACCCACAGTAGCCTAGAGGGCACCAGGGGCTGGAGGGGGGATGGGGAGTTAGTATTGAATCGGGGCAGAGTTTCAGTTTGGGCGATAGAAAGGTTTGGGAGATGGGTGGGGGTGATGGCTGCACAGCAGTGTGAGTGTACGTTAGGCCCCTGAACTGTGCAGCTGAAAATGGTTAAAATGGCCAAGCTTATGTTATGTATCTTGTTGCCATGTTAAAGAATTAAATCACAACTCCTGTAATCCTGGGCCAAGGCTGGAGGATCACTTGAGATCAGGAACTTGAGACCAGCCTGAGCAAGAGCGAGACCCTTTAGGCTCTACTAAAAACAGAAAAAAATTAGCCAAGCAACTACAAGTAGAAACAAAAAATTAGCCAGGTGTGGTGGTGCGCACCTGTAGTCCCAGCTACTCGGGAGGCAGGAGGGTCGCTGGAGCCCAGGAGTTGGAGGCTGCCGTGAGCTGGGATGACACCACGGCACTCTGGCCAGAGCGACAGAGTGAGACCCTGTCTCAAAAAAAAAAAAAATTAAAAAAGAAAGAAACACTGACAGTCTGTCACTCATCAGCTTTGGCTTCGCTGATAAGATGCCTTGTGTCCCCGCAGTGTGTGACCCGGTCATGGGCGACAAGTGGAATGGCGAAGGGTCGATGGTGAGTCACGTCCCCAGTGTGACCTTGGAGCTCGGCTCTTCCTTTAACACAGTGACTGACACAAAACAATCAGAAACTTTTCCTTGGGGCCACCGTGTTTTATTACGAAAATAGAATAAAAACCCCCAAGTGTAACATCAAGGTAAACAGAAACAAAAAAATGAAATCTATTGATTTCTATTCATTGAATGCACATTTTTAGAATTAAATTGTCAACATTAATTGTGACGGTAAGAACACCGGCAAGTAAGATTTTACGTATGTCTCACGGGGCCCCGGGCTCACAGCGAGAGCGAGTTCCATGCAAGCCCCGTGGCAGGGCCGTGTGAGTTGGGCGGAGAGGCCCCTCTGTAAGGGTGGGCCTCGGCAAGACGCCCCTCCGGGCACAGGCTCGGCCTTGTCGGGAGGGAGACACGAGGTTCGGGGAACCTCTCGTAAAGGGCCAGGTAGTTAGCAAATATTTCAGGCTGTGCGGCCGTTGTTCCCAGCGTAGCTACTAAGCTGTAGCGCTGAAGCAGCCACAGACTCAGCCTAAACATGAGTTAGTGCAGGGGTCCTCAAACGTTTTAAACAGGGGGCCAGTTCACCGTCCCTCAGACCGTTGGAGAGTGCACACTGTGGGCCCGGGACCAGTCGGCTGCTAAGCAGGACAGGCAGTGGCAGCAAAAATACCTGGCGGGCCGGATAAATGTGCTAGGCGGCCTGCATGTGGCCCAAGTGCCCGTCTGTTAGGCCCAGACGGGCAGCAAACCTGCGTCTGAAGTTTCTCCACCAGGTTAAGAGGAGTGTGTCGGGCCTGCCTAGCTAAAATCGGGGTTTTCCAGTTTCTCCCTCCTTCCTTCCTTCGTGGTCCAGTCCCTGGTCCTTCAGACTGTGAGCCTGGGACCTCCTCCTCCTCCTCCTCCTCCCAGCCCCTTGAACCTCCCTGCAGGACCCGTCGGGGCCCTCTGGGCTCCCGGCTCTGGCTGGCCTGGAGTGTTCACCGCCCAGCTCCACGCCGAGCGTCCGGGCCCCGGGCAGGGTTTGGGCGCGTGCCCTCTGGCGCCCTTCCCGAGCATGCGCCGGCCCCATTCCCTGATTCCCTGTCTCCCCCGTCCCCAGTACGTCCCGGAGGACCTGCTTCCAGTGTACAGAGAGAAGGTCGTGCCGGTTGCGGACATCATAACCCCCAACCAGTTCGAGGCAGAGTGAGTGATTTCGAATGGCTGAACCGCCAGACCCCCAACGGGCAGAGCTGCAGGGAACGTGCTGGAAACGTCTCCACGTCTGCCCTGGGGGCTGCCTGTTCAGGCCACCAGGGTGGAGCCCTGGCCTGGCACTGGGGTGGGGTGGGGTGGGGGTGGCCCTGAGGAGGGGAAGCCCCTGCCCACCCGAGTCCCGGGGCCCAGGCCTCGCTTTTAGTGGTGGCAGCAGCAGGTGATGGGGACAACTGTGTTGCCATCGGTGGTTTTCCGGAACAGCAGGCCCTCTGGGAGAGGCGGGGGAGGGACACCTGGGGAGCCGAGGGCACACGCGGCTGGGAAGGCCTCGGGACGCAGAGCCGCCACCCAGACCTGTCCACGGGGTCAGGAGGGTGTGCTGGGCCCGCCCGCCCGTGTCACATTCCGGAAGGCCTTTGGGCGTGTGAGCCACCCACCGACTGGGGACTCGGACCCCAGGGAGAGCCCCGGCGCCCTAGCGCGCGAGCTTAGCACGCTTGGGACGGGCCCCGCTGCCTCCGCCCCCGTCCCAGGCAGGGGCCTGGGACTACGGGACCTGGGCCCGGCCAAACACGGGGTGACGTCTCGCCTCGAGGGCCAGGAGTGCCGGTGGGCACCACGCTGGGGCACGGTAACCGGGGCGTGTGCCACCACTCCTCACCGCTGTCACGGGTAGACGCTAACCACGGTCTGGAACCCCCAGACCTGTCACGTGTGACAGCTCACGCTCACACTCAGAGCTCCCGCCCACCTGCACGTCACATTGGCCCTGCCCGCGATGGTCCTGGACGGTTCCCTGTGGGGGTGGCCAGGGTGGCCGTGGCTTTGGGGTGTCACACGCAGAGGGATCACCGCGTCCCGCCTGTCTCTCAGGTTGCTGAGCGGCCGGAAGATCCACAGCCAGGAAGAGGCGCTGGCGGTAAGGACCGCGCAGGCCCGGGCGGGGCGGGCGGGCTCTCTTCTGCCGGGAGCCAGGCGGCTGGATGGCCATGGACACCGCGCGCGTGTGTGTGTGTGTGTGTGTGTGTGTGTGTGTGTGTGTGTGTGTGTATGTGTGTGTGTCATGTGGTGTGAGTCCGTGTATGAGGGAGGGGTGTGGGTGTATGCTTGTAGTACATGTGAGGGGGGTGTGTGTATGTAGAGTGTTTATGAGGGGTATGTGTGTTTGTGTGGCGTGTGTGTGTATGTTATGTGTATGTGTGAGGGGTGTGAGGCGTGTGTGGGGGTGTTTGTGTGAGGGGTGTGTGGTTTGTGTGTGCGTGAGGTATGCGGGGGTGTGAGGTGTATGTGTGGGTGTGTATATGTGTGTGTAGGGGGTGTTTGTGTGAGGGGTGTGGGGGGGGTGTGTGGTGTGTGTGCATGAGGTATGTGAGGTGTGAGGCGTATGTGTGTAGGGGGGTATTTGTGTGAGGGGTGTGTGTGTATGAGGTATGTGGGGTGTGTGGCATGTGTGTGCATGAGCTATGGGAGGTGTGAGGCGTATATATGTGTATGTGTGTGTGGGGTGTTTGTGTGAGGTGTATGGCATGTGTGTGCATGAGGTATGTGGAATGTGAGGTATATGTGTATGTGTATGTAGGGGATGTTGTGTGAGGGGTGTGTGGTGTGTGGGGGGTGAGGCATAGGGGTGTGTGTATAGGGTGTGTGGCGTGTGTGTGTGTGAGGTGTGTGGGGTGTGAGGCGTATCTGTGTGTGTGTGTGAGGTATGTGGGGTGTGAGGTGTATGTGTGTGTGTGAGGTATGTGGGGTGTGAGGCATATCTGTGTGTGTGTGTGTGAGGTATGTGGGGTGTGAGGCGTATGTGTGTGTGTGTGTGAGGTATGTGGGGTGTGAGGCGTATGTGTGTGTGTGTGTGATGAGGTATGTGGGGTGTGAGGCGTATGTGTGTGTGTGTGTGAGGTATGTGGGGTGTGAGGCGTATGTGTGTGTGTGTGTGAGGTATGTGGGGTGTGAGGTGTATGTGTGTGTGAGGTATGTGGGGTGTGAGGCGTATCTGTGTGTGTGTGTGAGGTATGTGGGGTGTGAGGCGTATCTGTGTGTGTGAGGTATGTGGGGTGTGAGGCGTATCTGTGTGTGTGTGTGAGGTATGTGGGGTGTGAGGTGTATCTGTGTGTGTGTGTGTGAGGTATGTGGGGTGTGAGGCGTATCTGTGTGTGTGTGTGTGTGTGTGAGGTATGTGGGGTGTGAGGCGTATCTGTGTGTGTGTGTGTGTGTGTGTGTGAGGTATGTGGGGTGGGAGGCGAATCTGTGTGTGTGTGTGTGAGTGTGAGGTATGTGGGGTGCGAGGCGTATCTGTGTGTGTGTGTGTGAGAGGTATGTGGGGTGCGAGGCGTATCTGTGTGTGAGGGTGTCTGTGGGAAGGGTGGCGCTGACGCTCCCGTGCCCACAGGTGATGGACGTGCTGCACGCCATGGGCCCCGACACGGTGGTCATCACCAGCTCCGACCTGCCGTCCCCCCGGGGCAGCGACTACCTGATCGCGCTGGGCAGCCAGCGGACACGTAAGTGCCTCCCCCCGCCCGTGCCGTGGCGTCCCTGGTCCTGCCCACTCAGGGTCCTTGGGGGCTTCCAGAACGTCTCGGGTCCTGCAGAACGAAAGCTACATCTCCTTCAGCAAGTCCTGCTAGCCACGAGGAAGGCCACACGCAGGCAGGATCGGGAGGGGCTTCTGAAACCTGGGGGTCCTGGGGTGCTGGCAGGGCTCCCCCTGGCTCCACAGCCCAGCCAGCAGCCCCAGGGTGGCGCCCCCACTCTCGGCTCTCAGGGGTCAGGTGAGACGCCCTGGACCGCCTGGTAACGCTGAGCGGACGGGCTGCAACCGGCTTCCCCGTCCCCGTGCACAGGCCTCCATAGAGCCGGTCCCCGGCCCTGACCTCACTGGGTTCACGGCTGCGGGGCCCCGCTGATCATTGGAGGGTTCATCCACCACCTGGGTTCTTTGTCTCTGGACAGAAGGCGACTGACCCCAGGTTTACCCCCCCGGGCCACTGAGAGCAGTCCCGTGTGCAGCCTCCGTGCCGCGCACTCTGCCTGTGGGCACAGAGCGCCTCGCGCACACCTGCACACGCACGCACACGCACCCACCCACACACCATATACCTGCACTCCTCAGCATGCCTAGGCGGTTCCTGGAGCTTCACGCCCTTGCTGCTGTCTTGGGGAGCTGCGTGGTGTCCCCCGGCCATCCTGACCACGCGGCCCCCTGAGGTTCCAGCCTGTCACTGTGTCCCTCGGAAGGGGGTGGGGTCACCACACACACTCGGAGCTGTGGGCGCTGGACCAGGCCCCGAGCTCTGCCCGTGTGGCCTCCCTGCCACGGTGCCGGGAAGAGCAGGGACGGGAGGGCACTGCTGCCGGCAGCGAGTCCCGGGTCCCAGTGGCCTTGCCGTCCTGTCCCCGCAGGGAGGCCTGACGGCTCCGTGGGGACCGAGCGCATCCGGATGGACATTCACAAGGTGGACGCCGTCTTCGTGGGCACCGGGGACCTCTTTGCCGCCATGCTCCTGGCGTGGACACACAAGCACCCCAACAATCTAAAGGTCAGTGACGCGCTCGCTCCCCCCGAGGCCGCTCCTGTGCCCCGGGGAGCTGGTCACAATGGTGGGGGGACGGGAGGGACCAGGCTGAGCAGGAAGGGCTGGCCCCAGCGCCGGCAGGGAGGGCGTCGGCCGGGCCGTGGGCTCCAGAGTCAGACCTCGTCACCGTGGCTCCCTCCCTCCCGCCCGCACGTGGGGAGTGGGATGGTCAGGGCGCCGCCTGCAGGGGCTCTCGTGGGAGGACGGGTGCAGGACACACCGAGTCCCAGCCTGGCTCAGGTGTGGCCGCCTGGCATTGGCGAGAGGCTTAGGGGGCGCAGCAGTGCTGGGGGAGCCCCAGAACCTGCTCCTGGTAACCCCAGACTGCACAAATGCGTGGCTGTGAGTGTGCCAAGCTGTGGCATCCCTGGTGACCTGAGCCGCTCCTGGAAGAGCAGCCCGTACGGCGTGTTTCCCGACACGCGACCGCTACAGGGACTTGAGGGTCTGAGAGCCAGGACGCTGGCTTCAGGGCCGGGAGGCCCAGGGGCAGACTGGCGTGCAGATCATCTTCCCGTGGTTCGCCCCGCGTCTGTCCCCCTGCTCCCTGCGCTTGCACGGAGACCCGGCGCCTTGCCCGGCACTGCTGGGCAGAGCGGATCCGTTGCTAGGCTGGTTTGGTAAATGGGGTGTCAGGGGCCTTTCTCCCGCCCTAGGTGGTTGAGCCCGAGGCTCGGCGGGGACTGGGAGTCTCGTTGCAGCCACGTCACTTGGTTCACTGGCCACCTTCTGCCCTGTGTGCAGACAAGTTGGGTTGTCAGATTGCTCTTGTCCGAGCCCCCACCAGCTGGCCAGCGGGTGTGTCCTCTTTCACCGTGGTCCCCAGCCCTGGGGCTCACTCAGCCACACTGCCCTTGTGTCCCATGTGCGGCATGGTGGGCTCAGGCACAGCGGGGGAGGGGGGAGGCTGCCGTCCCTTTGGAGCATGGGCGGGGCAGGCGTGCAGGAGAGGCAGGAGGAGGAGGAGGAAGGGACACCTGCTCCACCTGGGCCACAGGTGAAGCAGGGAAGGGAGAGTCGGGGCGTCAGGATCTGGAATTGCCCCCACCTCCCGCTGTCTTTGACAGGCTCCTCCAGGGCCTGCATTCCCCTGGGGGGCAGGCACGCCCTCCCCAGCAAGTCAGTCGGGCTGAGTCTCTGGCCCCTGGTTCCCCTCCCGAGGGACAGGCCCGAGGCCGACCCCGAACTCCTCACGGGATTGTGTGGCCCCTCCTGGTCTCACCCCCGCCCGTGTCCTCTCGGGTGCAGGGAGCGCCGGCCTGCCCTGTTTAATTGGCAGCAGCGGGAGCCTCATTCGGTGCAGGGTGGCGGAAACCTGCCAGCTGGTGCCCAGCGCAGGCCGAGAAGCGGCTCCAAGGCCAGACATTTGCACAGTCTAGGGTTATGAAGCTGGGAGCAGGTTCCGGGGTCCCCCAGCACTGCTGCACGCCTTAAGCTTTTGACTTTGAGACACTGTGAGTGATGCTTTGGCTGAGTTTGGGGCAGCGGCTCTTTCCTGTCAGTTTTTTTTTTTTTTTCCAAGACAGAGTCTCGCTTTGTTGCCCAGGCTAGAGTGAGTGCCGTGGCGTCAGCCTAGCTCACAGCAACCTCAACCTCCTGGGCTCTAACAATCCTCCTTCCTCAGCCTCCTGAGTAGCTGGGACTACAGGCATGCGCCACCATGCCCGGCTAATTTTTTCTATATATATTAGTTGGCCAATTAATTTGTTTCTATTTATAGTAGAGACAGGGTCTTGCTCTTGCTTTTGCTCAGGCTGGTTTTGAACTCCTGACCTTGAGCGATCCTCCAGCCTTGGCCTCCCATAGTGCTAGGATTGCAGGTGTGAGCCACCTCGCCCGGTCCCATTGTCGGTTCTTTGTAACTAATTAATTCCAGGGGCTCTCGTCAGGCACTTGCTACCTCCAGGCAATGGAGGGCGAGAGGCAGCCACTCGCGGGAGCTGGTGGTTAGAACAGTGGGCACTGCCCAGCTCTCCCGGGGGTGCCTGGCGGGTGGAGCAGCCGCCAGCCACGCAGGGTTTGGAGCACGGGAGCTGGTGGAGGCTCACCGGCGGCTCAGAGGGTGGGGCAGCCGGTCTTTATGTCTCCTGGAAATCCCCTCCGGGCAGCGATGAGCACCTGGGAGCCCAGGTGGGCCACAGCGCGTCTCCTCCCTGCAGGTGGCCTGTGAGAAGACGGTGTCAGCCATGCACCACGTCCTGCAGAGGACCATCCAGTGCGCGAGAGGTACGCCAGCCGGGCTGCCCACGTGGCCCGTGTGCCCCCGAAGTGGGCGGGAGAGAGGGGAAGTCACTTGCTCGCTGCGAGGCTGTGACGGGTGGCTCCTGCATGAAGGGGTCGCTGCAGCCCAGCTGGCCTTGGCCCCTGGGATCCGGTGGCGGCGCGGAGCTTCTGGAACGGGGACTGGGGACGTGCCCCGGGCCAAGGAGGGCTCGCCCAGGTGGTGGGGACAGAAACTCAGGGGCCCCCGTCCTTGGTTTGTCCTGCAGTCCAAGCTGGGGAAGGACTGAGGCCCAACCCGGCCCAGCTGGAGCTGAGGATGGTCCAGAGCAAAAAGGACATCGAGGACCCGGAAATCGTCGTCCAGGCCACGGTGCTGTGAACCTGGCGTGCCCGCCCGCGACGCACAGCGTGTTGGTGTCTCCGTTCTTGTCCCTGTGAAAAATGTAGCGTCTGCCTTAGAGTCATGACCGAGACTTGACATTTTTTCATTCCTGAGTGTCCAGCATCAGCCGGTCTCCACCGTGAAACCCACCGGTCGCGCTTTGTAAAGAGAAGCAAAGCGATCCCTCCCCTCCCCCAAGCCGCCCGGGCCTGGGAGACCCGTCCCCGATTGCCGTCTGGGGGCGTCCTGCGTGGTGGGCAGGGGGCACGCGAGGCCCCCACCCCGGGGGAACCTCTCGGGGGCCACCGCTGCCGGGCAGAAGCCTCTTGCCGAGGCTCAGGTGGCTTGTGTGTTTGCGTCTGTGAGCGGTGGGGTTTCGGCCATTGGCATCTGGGAGAATACGCCAAATATCGTCATTGCCATTCTGATCTTACTCATTGTTCCTGCGTCAGAGTTTCTGTTCCTTCACTTGCTGCTCGCTAGGTCCCCGGGCGTTTCGGGTCTCTTGCTGTTTGCCTGTGAACCTGCTCAGGTGCTGTGGGCGCCTGGGCAGGGACCCGGCCAGGGCCCGCATAGTCGAGCTGGTCCCCAAGGGTCCCAGCGGCACCCCCTGCAGCGCACGGGTGCCTGGCCTTGCGCACCTGCTGAGCCTGGGGAGGGGATGCTGCCGGGATGAGGGTCGCGGCTGGGCTGCGGGCAGCTTGTGAGGTTCTGGGAAAAGCACCACACTTGTCAGGTTCCTTGTGGAACTCACCTAATTGTGGAGTGACAGGTTAAGCACCGAGTGTTTGCCGCATACTGCTGGCGACAGTGCGTGGAGCCACAGTGCGTGTGTGCAGACAGGGACAGAGGACAGAGTGCACTTGTCCCCCGTGCTCCGCTCTGCGTTCTGGGTCAGCTGCAGCTCTCTGCCCTCCCAGGGAGGGAGTTGGCATGGGGGTTGGGGTTGCAGCTCGCAGACCCCGTGGGCAGGCCAGGACGGCAAAGGCCAGCTCCGACACAAGTCCAGTTGTCCACTGCTCGGGGGTGACTTCCCTGGCCCCACTTTGCCCGGAGTTTGGGGTCCCCCCTAGGTGTGGCCGCAGGTGGGGGTGCCCATCTCAACCTGCCTTGATCTCAACACCCCTCCCCCATCCCTACACCCCGGTTCTGGGGGTGCAGAGGTTTGCATCTCTGGGGAACCCACAGCCTGGAGAGAAACAGGGAGACTGCAGGAAGTGGGAGCCCGTGTGGCTTCCGGAAAGTGGGCACTCCCGGGGGGTACCCCCACTGCATGCCCCACGGGCAGGCCTCCTCCAGAGCCTGCACCCTCTTCTAACGCAGTTCCAGTGTCTTCCAGAAAGACTGGCTCAGCAGTTGTGCATTCTCATTGGAAAGTGCCCTAAAATGAAGAGTTGCTGGTCCACGTGGAGCTAGCTGCCCTCCACTCTGTCTTGCCCTCTTTGCCCTCATTCACGCCCGTGCGTCAGTGCGCCCTGGCAGCTGTGCGCGGGCCCGCCCTGGTGTCTGGCCACCGCCGCCAGGGCCGGCGAGTCGGAGACCTTAGGCACCTCTGAGCCCCGGGGCCGCTGGTCCCTGCAGGGCCACCCCAGACCAGCAGGAAGGAGGACGCTGTGGCCAGAGCCCGGCAGGGAAGTGGCCTCCCCCGTAGGTGAGCACAGGGACCAGCCAGAGTCACGGGCCCTCGGCCTTTGTGGGGCCCTTAACTGGAAATGCCGTCACTGCCAATTGGAGACTACGGCTCGTGCCACGTTGCCAGCCGTGAGCAAAGCTTTTTTGTTCCCCCCTTTTTCATATCAAGAGCCGGTGCAGGACTAGGGAGAGAGCCTAAACGTGTCTCTCTTCAATGAGACGGTGAAAAACTCAGCCTGAAAACACGGTGTCGGGTGCGGGGCCCTCATCCTGTGTGTGCAGCGGGCTGACGTGGGGGCACGTGCTCTGGCAAACACGCTGGATCCCGGCTCTGCATCCCACTGCAGAGGCTGGGTCCCCACGTGGCTTTAATTCTTGCACTTCCCTGTGCCGTGCACGGGGACGAGAATGTCAGATCGGGGACTGCCTGGCGCAGCCCGAAACTTCCTCTTGTGTCTCCTTGGGCTGCACAGACAAGACCAGGAGAGGCCGAGGCCAAGCCACGTGGTTAGGCAGCAGGAAATCGGGGGGTTTCCGAGAGCGCAGGCCCGGGGCTTTTGTAGAAAGAACGCCGGCTCCACGGGAAGGCGGCGTCCCACGTTCTGCCCCCCCAGGCGCGGCCGTCTGGCCACGGTGATGGTGCCATCCTTGCTGTCCCGGGCTCACCGCCGCGTGGGCACACTCGGCCGCTGGCTTGGGCGCTGGCCCTGGGTGGCCTTGACTGACAATTTCCCGTCCGAGAGGTTAGCCCCGGGCATCGGCAGTGGTTTTTGACGAGGCCTGGATTCACGTTAGAATTAATCTTTGTTTTTACATTCCATGGTTTGATGACACGCAAAATAACGTATTTTAACATGAGAGCTGTATTAGCCCAGAATCGCCCGCTTGTTATCAGGGTGCAGAATTGTCATACTTTCTTAATCCGGGTTTCCAGGCCTCCTCCTGTGGACCCTAAGAATGAATTATGCAGCAGGACCCCTTTTTAAAATCAACTTTAAATCATCACCTGGCCCTGCTGAGGTCACTGTGAGCATCTGTGTTGCTTTTGCGACGTCTGTCAGTGACTGTACAAGTGATGCTTTGTGTAATGTCCTGTTCTTAAACTCGTTAGAGCCACTTTTTAAAAACGTTTAATTTGACAGTGGACTGAGCCGGGCTTGGCCGGCCCCCCGATGAGCAAGCGCGATTGTTCTGTGCAGAGAACAGTGGGCCTGCCGGGCGGGTGCCGGGTCCCTGATCTGACCGTCCCGAGCGCGGCGTCATCTGTGGTGACGAGATAAAGGACGTGCAGGGTGCAGGGTGCCTGTGGGCCCCCAGGAGGAAGCGGCAGGTCGGACAGGGTAGGTGGGCTCGGCCGTTGGATCACTGGCGCCGAGACGGCCCCTGGCCCTGCATGTCTGCCTCCCGTGGCGTGAGCCACGTGGCCTCTCTTTAGTTGACGTGTTCTAAAAGCGGCGAGAACATCCTGGCCCTGGGACCCTTCTCCCGGCCCTTCCTGCCCTCTGGCAGGGCCGCCTGCTTTGGGGTCACTGGGGGCCCCGGCCGCGTGGCAGGACTGTGTTCTGCTGCTCGACAGCCGGGAATCCCGCCTCCCGCCCCTGCTGCCCGCCTGGTCTCGAAGACCTCCTCCACGCACTCTTCCCGTGGGGCGGGGGTCCGCTCAGGCCCCCTCCCAGGCACCTGCCCGCGCCCAGAGAGAGGGGGCTGGAGTGCGTGAGTGAGCAGAGCGGGTGATGCGTAGACAGAGCCTCGGGGACTTCCGTCCTGGCCTCCTGAGTTCTGACGGGAGACAGACGCCACTGCCCGCTATAGTGGCGCGGTGCCCGCTGTTTTCACCCCACACCCCTCTTTGCCAGGGCGCAGCACCAGCCTGGGTCTGTCCGAGGAGCACGTCACAGGTGCCAGCCGCCAGGACCAAGTGGGCCCCAGGTGGACGGCGCCGAGAGCCCAGCTCCACTGCCCGAAGGTCCGTGGGCAGCCCCGACCTGGGGGGAGCCTGGAGCCTGCCCGGCTGGTTCGGGTGGACCCCGTCCCCTGGGCCCCAACACCGGGGGGAGGCTTGAGCCGTGCAGCCCTGGGGCTGTGGGCAGAGCAGGGCGCACCACGTGCCCTCGCCCTCCTGCGTCCCTTCCCGACAGGTGCAGAACCGGGTGCAGGTGCAGGCTGGCAGGGCTCCGCGTGCGGGGGGGGCTGGGAACCTGTGTCCTTTTTGGAGACACTTCCTGCCACTTCACAGGGTCTCTGCGACCGCCCGTCTGGGGAGATTAAACATCAGCCACCTTTAGGGGGATTTTTTTTTAAGTATCTAGATCTTCTCTGTGAGGCGATGGAACCAGCCTGCGTGGTCCGCTGCGGCCTTTGCGGTGAGCCACTGGGCTCGGCGGGTCCCCTCTCCAGGCGGGCCCGTGGGAACCGCCGCTTGGGCGCGCTGGGCACCTGTGCTGTGTGTCTTCCTGTCCACTCTGCAGTGTGTTCTTGGTGCAGAATGTTGTCTGTTCTTAACGTGCAAAGACGGTGATTGATAAACAAATGTCTTAACCACATTCCTGCCTTCCATGGTAGCACAATGCATTCCTTTGTTTAAAACAGGATTTAATAGCTTTAGGTCGGACTCAGTGAATACTTTAAACTTTGTATGAATGGAAAGTGCTTCCTGGAGTTTTTATTTTTTTAAATGCTGGCAGAACAAACAGGTGTTTTTGAAGTTTCCCTACTGTCAGAGCCAGGCAGGGCCCTGTCCCCCGCAGGAGGCCGCGTCGGGGGGACGCCAAGCCCCAGGTTGCCATGGTGAGCAGCACTCCCAGACGCCAGCCTCTCCTCTGTCCCATCCCCCGGGGTTGCCGTGGAGAGAGTCCTGATCTTTGTGCAGTGGGAAACCCACTCTTGTGATGCCCCCAAGTGCTGGGGCCCCCCGCCCCGCTGCGGTCCCGAGAGTCAGCTCTGAGTCCGACAGCGAGGCCGGCCCCGTGCCCACAGGGTTGGGCGGGTGGGCACAGAGCCAGGAGTGCCCACCCAGCCCGTGCTTGGAAGCCCCCAAATGGCCTTGGAGGTGACTGGGAAAACTCGTCCTAGGGGAAGCCACCCTCGCCCCTCACTCTGCACTGCGTCCGTCAGCCGCGTTTGAAGCACTGGCGTCCCTTTCTGGCCCAGGTCGCAGCTCCTGGGCAGGAGGGAGGGCGTGGGGCTGGCGGGTTCGGTCTGTCCTCGAGAGTGGTGGGGAGGCGAGGACACCCGCGTCAGCCCCAGACACGGTGGATCCCACGGGCGTCGGAAACCCCTTCGTGGCCCGATGGGAGGTGCGGGTGTTAGTAGCTGGAGGGTGGGAGCAAATCCCTGGTTTGCCGAGCATAGCCCTGGCAGTTGGGACGCGTGTTGGGGGACAGTCTGAATGCCCTCGACTTTGTAGCCGCTTCATTCCTGATTTAGAACATGAGTTGGAATTTCATCCGATTGTTGCAAAACTGGACCAACAGCAGGATGGAGGAGCTGCCCCGCCCTCCTCCTGAAGGGAGCTGGGCGCCCTGGAGGCCCCTCAGCCTCGAACAAAGCACACGTCACCCTCCTGTGGCCCCTGAAGTTCGGGGTGGCTCCTGCAGCCCGTGGGCACCAGCCCTCCGTGCGTTCCGTGTGAGTGTGTGTGAACATCAACCGTGTCAGCCTCATGTAGGCCGTGTCTGTTTTGTGCCTGTCCTGTTGACTTCTATGACTATCCACAAATAAATATTTTCGTGGTGATCGTGTGGAGGAGCAATGATTCCTTCCCACCCTTCCAGCTCCCTCATCTGGGTGCCGCTTAAAGCCAGAGTTTCGACCGGGCGCGGTGGCTCACGCCTGTAATCCTATCACTCCGGGAGGCCGAGGCGGAAGGAGCACTCAAAGTCAGGAGTTTGAGACCAGCCTGAGCAAGAATCAGATCCCGTCTCTACTAAAAATAGAAAGAAATTAGCTGGACAACCTAAAATATATAGAAAAAAATTAGCCGGGCATGGTGGTGCATGCCTGTAGTCCAAGCTACTCGGGAGGCTGAGGCAGGAGGATCACTTGAGCCCAGGAGTTTGAGGTTGCTGTGAGCTAGGCTGACACCACGGCACTCTAGCCCAGGCATCAGAGTGAGACTCTGTCTCAAAAAAAAAAACCACTGGAGTATTGCTGGAAGCAGCTTATAGCTGATTCCCCAGAAATCTCTCTCTCAAAGGAAAGGGTGTGTGTGCCCTGTCTCTGCCCAAGTGGCCCAGGTCCCCTCTCGTCCTGCTCTCCGTCCCCGGGGTCTGGCCCGAGTGCTCCAGGCGGGCTCCCCACCCCCCACCAGGTTCCGAGGCCCAGCTCCAGGCCTTGGCCAAGCCCCTCCTGGGCCTCAACAGCCACCTCCTCGCGCCCTCGAGCCTGGGCAGTGACGGGTGCCCGCTCCTCTGACGTACGCACACCTGCGCAAAGAAACCCTCAGACTACCTCCGGCCGCCGCCGGGCTCATTGCTTTGTGCCAAAAAGGCAAGAGAAGCATGGGATGTGATTGCCCTGCAGAACCAGCCCTCCCTCAGGAACCCCTACGGCCCCTGTGGCCGCCTGTTGCCACGGAGGACACGGCACTGAAGGCCCTGCGCCAGAGGGGACGGGTGGCGGAGGCGGGGCGTTTCCTGCCGAGTAGGTGGGATCCGTCGCATGCCTGGACGCCGCCGGCCACACCACCCCGGCCCCCTTCTGGAGGCCCGGCCCTGCTTGGAGCACATGTCACGGCCAGACCCCGGTTGGTGTGTGGGTGTCCTGAGGCTGCAGTGACAAATCCCACCACCCGAGTGGCATAAACCTACACACAAGTGTTCTCTTACCGTTCTGGGGCCAAAGTCTAAACCGGCTCCTTCTGGAGGCTCTCAGAGAGCGCGCCTGCTGTCTGCCGGCGGCTGGGCTCTTGCACCCCTCAGCCCGGGTCCTCCCCTGTCCCCCAAGCCAGCGTTGCAGTGTCTGCGACCTCTGCCTCCCTCTCAGCAGGACCTGTGATGACATTAGACCTACCCGGATGGCCCAGGGCAATCTCTCCTCTCCAAATCCTGACTTCAGTCATCTGCACAGTCCCTCTTGCCAACCTCTGAGCTGCCCTGTGCACAGGTTCCAGGGACGAGGGCGTGGACCTCTTGGGGGGCCGTTAGCCCGCCACATCCTGTGACGGGCAGGTGGGACTGACCCCTCAGAGGGCCACACTCCACCCCCAGGCCTCAGCCATCTCGAGGACCCCTGCTGGCGGCTCCCTGTGGGCGGGAAAAGCCTCAGGTCAGGACCCTCCCCACCCCGGTCCACACTGGCGTAAGGGTGTCAGAGCCTGGGCTCCCGGAAAAGAGGGCCTGGGCCAGGGTCGCAGCCGAGGGGCCACCCAGGCTGCAGAGAAGTGAGGAGGGCCCCGGAAGGGAGAAGTCCTGGCAATGTGGCCCTGAGGCCACAGCAGGTGGTCTGCTGGACCTCTGGTGACACCGCCACCATCGTCTGGCCGTGCACTCCTCCCCCAGGATCGGCGTTCTGCAGGTCCCTGGCGCTCGCTGCGAGCAGGTCACACACAAGCTGGGGGCCGGACCTGCAAGGTTTGCCTGTCCCCCCACCGTGCACCCCGGCTGCACCTGTTCAAACCCTCCGTTCAGCTCAGTGCGCCAGGGTGGGGGCCGTCGAGGCCCGGCCAGTGTCAGGGGGGCTGAGCTTTCGGGAGACTTCCGGAGTCACACCACATGCCAGTGCGGACTGGGCCCTGTGACGGTGGTCAGAGCCCTCTCCCCGCCAAGCCCGCACCCCAGCGGGGAGACCGGAGGGGAGACGGGAGAGGGAAGGGCTTGGCCAACACGCCACCTGCCCCGGCTGCAACGCAGAACGCAGGCGCTGGGTATAAGGCAGCTCTGCTGAGGGCACGAAATTAAGCCCGGACAGGTGTCCCCCCCCAAATTCAACGATGTCCTGCAAAAAGTCATGTTCACTGCCAACTTCAGAATATGATTTTATCTGGAAATAAGGTCTTCACAGAGGTAATTTGTCCAGTAAAATGAGATCACACTGGATTAGGACCCAAAATCGAATGCCTGGCGCCCTAGTGAGAAGGTGGCCCTGTGACCACAATGCAGCGCCAAGCGAGGACGGCTGGGCCCGGCAGCCCCGGAAACTGAAACACGGCCACTTCCAACAAGGGTCCTTTTGGGGGGGAGTGGGTCCCTGAGCATGGGATGGGACCCTTGAGGACAGGCCTGAGATGCCCAGTCCCCCGAGTGCCTGGGCTGTGGCCCTGCTCTCCCCTCACCCGCTGGCCAGAGAAGGGCCTCCCGCACCTGGAGACCTGCGATGCCCACACCTGTGTCAGGTGCCTCTCGCGACAGCACTTGTGCCTTCCAGTGGCTACAGGGCCACCGCCAGTCGGTCAGGTCTCACCCAGCAGAGTGGCTGGGCTGGAACGAGTGTTCTGACACCTCAGCAAGTTCAGGTCGGGCCCCTGGAGCTGCCCCTGGGTCGGCTGAGATGCTCCTTCAAGTACGGACTTGCTGACGGCCCAGGGCTGGTGAGGCGGAGCCTCCCCTCCCACCTGCCTGCTCCAGCTGCCCCTTTGCTGCCGGTGTGTCTGTATGCATGGGGGGACCTCACCTCTCTGCGCTAACTCCTGTAGGGCTCCCTTGGCCCAGCCCACTGGGTCCCGTGCTGGCCACGCAGCAGAGCCCCCTGAGTTTTACCCAAAACAGACCCCTGGGCCTGCCCTGGACCTGCAGAGCTGAGTTTCCAAGCCTCAGCACCGTGACAGGCAGGCGCGGTCGGCCCTCGTCACAAGCTCCCGACACACTGTTATGGGGCTCGGCGTGGGGAGACGGGACAGGAGAGGCTGAGACCTAGGGAGCCACACCCACCAGCCGCCCAGAAGGAACCCAGGGACCCCAACTTCTGGGGTCACACTGAGAATCTGGGGAGATCCCCGGATTCTCGCGTGCTGACCTGGAGCCATGAGGCTCCCCCCAGGTGACCAGCGCAGGCCTCTCCCCTCTGAGGGACAGAGCAGGTAAGTGGACGGTCACAGCCCTGCAGCAAGGAGGACCTGGCCTCTCCGTAGAGCGGCTTTTCTGTGACTCCTCATGGCACAGCTGCCTCGGAGCAGTGCGTGTGCGGGTCCCGTGGAGGTGGCGGCGTGGCGGCTCCCTGCCCACCGCAGAGATGGGCACACTGCACTCCCTGGACCAGGCACAGTGGGTACCCCCAGCTCCGACCTGGCCTGCAGCAGGGGAGCCCGCAGAGGCGCAAGTGCCCCACCAGCGACTCTGTGTCACACCCGGGACTGCACGGCCGGCTCCTGGGCAAAGCCGAGTCTGCCTGCTGTGCCCTGGCCAGGGCCACACTTGGGCTCCTCGGGGGCCTCTGGCTGAGCCCCCAGCCCGTTCCCCCAGAAGAGGTTACCCTGCTGGACCCAGAAACCGTCTCAGGCACCTGTCAGGCCCTGGAGTGGGGACCAAGAGGACGGCCACGTTTTGTAGCCAGTAGTGCGTTCCTTTGGGCTGTGGTTCTCTCTTCTCACCCCGAGCCCAGGGCCACACTCAGACACACGAGGGCCCGGGCAGGCTAGCAACTGCGTGGCCCGCGGGACTGTTCTTTGATTTTTCAACCCTCGGGAGCACAGCCATAGGGAGGATGGAGGTCGGAGGGAGGACGGCGCAGCTGCCCCAAGCAATTCTGCTCCGCCCCACTGGCTGCTTCCAGGCCAGGCGGTGTCCTGAGGGGCGGGGCTCAGCCACCCCCTGCGGGCCAGTCCCGTGGTCACATGCAGCCTTCTCTGGGAGTGCAATTCTGGAAAACGCAGCTCTCCCCTAGCCACGTTGCCGGGATCCACATCTTCCCAGCTCCTGACCTTGCCCGAGCTCCGCTTGGTCATGTGGCCACACCTGCTGCAAAGGAGCCTGGACCTGGCTGTCCTTTTTAAAAATGTGGGCCCGGTGATACAGTTTCCCCACCCCTAAGGGAGGTGGAGAGCGGATGTGGGCAGGAAAGGGCTCTCTGACCACCTGGTGTCACGAGCCCTGTGAGAGGCGTGTCTCATGGTGTGTTCTCAGCCCAGCAGGGTGCCTGGCACAAGGACACTCAGACGTGGGCAGGGACAGGAGGGAGGGAAGACCTGGGGAGACATGCGGTCGTGAGCGCAGTGGAGCCGCCTAGCCAGGGGCTGGCTGTGCCTGGGGGGGGGGGGTCCAGGAGCAGAGCCTGAGATGCTGGAGCTGCAAGCCTGTCGCGGTCCCTGCCGACTGTGGGGCAGAAATGGGATTACCGCTGCTCCCAGGCGGCCCCATCGGACTTGCTGGATGCTCCTCCCGGTAACGGGGTGATGCGGCTCCTCACGCCTACAATTTTCTCTTGCACAATCTCCATCCAATTATACGTTATTCTATCTCTAGTCTAATTCGAATCTAATCTCATCTAGATCAGTCCACCCTGTGTGCACAACAGCAGCTTTTCTGATAGCAATTAGAGGAGACTGCGTGTGAGGGCGTGGGGTGCCCGGGGCAAGCTGCGGTTGGGGAAACCCTCGGGAATGCGCTTCACATCATGACCGGAAGCACGGAGGTTTCACCCGACTGTTTTTCTTTTTTTTGAGACAGGGTCTTGCTCTGTCACCCGGGTAGAGTGCAGTGGCGGCACAGTTCACTGCAGGCTCCAGCTCCAGGGCTCCGGCCGTTAGAAGTGACCCGCAGTGCCGTTAGAAACCGTCCGACACTGCAAATTGTCTCGGCCAGGCGAAATCTTTACTTCTGATCAGAAGGGCGCGTAGCAGCAGGCAAAAGCAGCCAGCCAGCCAGCGCTGCCGGGAAGTTCTCCACCTCTCATCCCTAACGCAGACCTGGGCTGTGTCTCATCCCACAGGTGGGGGCTCTGACCGCACGATCTGGCCCTCACCCGATTGGCTAAGGCGTGTTGCTGGGGTAACAGGGAGAACGAGGAAGTTAAAGTGAGTAAATGTGGATTTTTTGGTATTGCAATAAAGGAGGTTAAACAAAGGTTATCGTTATCATACAGCCTGTACTACAAACTAATAATTACATAAAGCTGGGTATCAAACAGAATATTCCTTTGGCAGAAAAAATTAGGCCAAAGTCATCTCTTCCTACAAAGCCATCCTCCTGCCTCAGCCTCCCAGAGCGCTAGGACTGCAGGAGTGAGCCACCGCGCCTGGCCTCACCCGACAGTCCTAACTCTCACAAGGTACGATGTATTATTCTTTTCTGTTCTTGGCAACGCAAACGAGTCACAGGTAGGAAAACACCGGACTGATCCCACTGACGGCAAGTTACCTCTGCTGAAACCCAGAAGGCATTTTTCAAACAGACAATGCTCCTCCCAAGGTGCCCCCTCTCCTTGCCAAGGAGCTTATCCAGGGAGCACATGGGAGCTTCCACGTGCACAGCACCTGGCCAAGCTGCAGGGCGGCTGCGCAGACACGGCGCAACAGCATTGCCGCTCCTGCACACGTCGTGAACGGAGCATGGAGTGTGTGACTGGGTCTGGGCAGACCTACAGCTAACACTCTCTCAATAGAACTCCATTTACTCAAACCCCTTTAGTTTCCTGGGGGAAACTGAGGCTTGGGGACAGAAGCTAGAGTCAGGGCAACAGCACGCAGAGAACCGTGGTTAGGAATGCAGGCGGGTGGGAGGCCTGGACCTTGGGTCTCCCAGCCACCTGCTGGGACCTGGGCTGTCTCCCTGGCCTCGGTGCCTTGGAGCAGAGTGACCCACACCAGCCAGCCCGGGCCAGTGCCGGGCACACCTGGGCTCCAAGAGCTGGGAAAGAAAGATCCTCACGAACACTCTCGGGTGAAGGACTCTCGCCTCCCTGGCACATCTACACTGTGATTACTGCTTTAGATGGAGAAAAAAAAAAAACCCAAAGACGAGTAATTTGTAAAGACTTAAAATATATATATTCAAAGGTAATATATAACCCTCTTTGAAAATAACCAAGTTAAGATCATTGATTGGGAATGAAAAAAATCAACAGTGACATTTAGGAGCAGAGATGCAAGAGGAGCTGCCGGACACGGCCCCTCCCAGCCCGGGCAGCACAGCAGAGGGCGAGGTTACTTTACGATCCCAGGCACACGCTCGCAGGTGACAGAGAGCCACCCCGAGCATCCGTCACGCGGGCCAAGGGCCCCACTCGAGCCGGGGAATCAGAAATAGCTCAGCTCATCGCCCTTGGTTTTGTCGGTCTGGTAGTTCGACAGGGCCAAGGGCTTGTTTTCGTGAGGAAGACTTTCAAACACCCGCAAGTGCACGAAGCTGTCGTCGCCAACGTGAACCTGGGGGGAGAGAGGGTCAGTGAGCGGAGCCCCCAGCCCCAAGGCCCCTTGCAACAGAGCTGAGCGTGAGAATGGCTGCCGCCCTAGAGGCAGGAGCCGTGTCCCTTCAGGCCGTGGGTGACTCTTCCTTCACGAGCAGGGACACCCTCGGCACCCCACCCTCGTCCCGCCAGAGCCCTTGACTGCCCCCAGACCTTAGTCCTTCCGTAAGGCCTAAGAGAGGGGACCCTGCCCGTGTTAGGGGCGGATGCAGGACTCCCCCTTGAGACCTGCGCCCCGGCACTGAGACCACCCCACCCCGGGCCTGCACGAGCTGTCCCCAGCACCCCCCCACCGCAGGTCGGGCTCCCCCCACGTGGCCCCTGCCCCACCTTGATGAAGTGGTTCGTGCCTGCGACCAGCTGCTTCTTGAACGACACAGCCTTGAAGACGGGGAACTTCTTATTTTCTTTCTCTTCAAGCTGGGACCTCACCTGGGGGAGCAGAGAGAATGGGGTGACTCGGTGGCTCCCCTCCTGCTGGAGTAACTCACACACATACACGCTTGCACACGCGAGTCCAACGCCCACTCTTCACAGACTTTCCTTGACACAACAGTTCCTTGTCACTGGGGTGACACAGCAAACTGATAGCCCTAATAGTAGAGAAAACAATTCTTTATTAATTCTCCCAAAGCTTTAACGATACTACTTCGGTACATTTGCCTTTTCCGGGCATGGGATGATTTTATGCTTTTGTCATCACAACACTACATACAGGCTTATGCCCTGTGGATTTTTTCACCCGACACAAAAATAGTTCATTTGAAAGACTATATATCATTTTCAACTAATCTTTTAAAATCGAGTATTTTAAGTGTAATCTCAAATTTAACTTAAATGTAGCTTCCCGTTTCCTACACATGCCTGTTCCAGGCACTCGGGCCGCTCCTCGTTGCTGCTGCCGGGAGTGCACGGGCGATGCGTGTGCAGGTGAGAAGCACGCTTCCTGTCCGAGCGGATCTCCTTAGGAGACGGTGCGCCGGGCACGGGTGACCCTACTCTTAGTGCCAAACAGCAAATGCGCTCTCAATTCTAGGGTCTTTGGCTTTTAGGAGCTGGTCACCTTTATGATGGAAGGAAAGAGCAAACCTGTCTTTTTGAAAAAAATTTCAATCTAATGTAGTTTAAAAGTGCCCCGGCTGCTGTCTGATTAGCTGGTAGGCACCAGAGTCCACCCACCGTGCCGGAACCACCAGTCAGGCCGCAGAGAACCAGCTTTAGTTTTAAAAAAACAAACCCTCGCAGGCACGGTAGCTCACACCTGTAATCTTAGCACTCTGGGAGGCTGAGATGGGAGGATCGTTTGAGCTCAGGAGTTCAAGACCAGCCTGAGCAAGAGCGAGACCCCGTCTCTAGCAAAAACAGAAAGAAATTAGCTGGACAATTAAAAATATATAGAAAAAATTAGCTGGGCACAGTGGCGTGTGCCTGTAGTCCCAGCTACTTGGGAGGCTGAGGCAGAAGGATTGCTCGAGCCCAGGAGTTTGAGGTTGCTGTGAGCTAGGCTGACGCCACGGCACTCACTCTAGCCTGGGCAACAAAGTGAGACTGTCTCAAAAAAAAAAAAAAAGAAAGAAAAACAAAACAAACCCCGCACATTGGCAGGAAGCCTGCTAGTTGGGAAATAAAGGGAGTTGCCAGGGCAATCTGACCAACAGTTCTGTCACCTCCTGGCACCTTCAGAGGGTGGACAGGTAGGGACAGGCGAGGACTGAAGGCCCAGCAAGAAGGACCGGGAGGACGCAATGAGCCACAGGTACCACCCACCGCCCCTCTGCTGGCTGCATGTGCCGGGGTGCTCCCTCCCCACCGGCACAGGGCCTGGCTGTGTCTGAAGACGCCCTTAGCTCCCGACTCCACAGTAGGTGTTGTGCTGGGCCGTGGGGACACACACCCCAGTGCGGTGGCCCTCGTCCTCAGACAAGGCAAGCTCAGGCTGAGTGACACCAACAAACCGGCCCAAGGACCCAAGGAGATGCAGAATTGCCTTTCTGCCTGTTTGCAAGAAATCCCGACAGAGGGGGAGGAGGGGTGTGGAGGCCTGGACCAGGCAGGTGGTGCCAGCGGAGGGCTGCCCACCTGCCGCTCACTGCAAGGTGGGCGGGGCTTTCGCCCAGGAGTGACGGAAAGCCAGAGATCAGCTAGGAAGCCCCAAACTGCCTGTCCTCAGGGCACAGGGACTGGCCTGGGGGAGGGTCCCCCAGTAGCCCTCATCTGCAAAATAGAGAGAGGAACGTGCAGTGCAGAGTGATCCCATAGGCGTCCATAACAAAGGGTCACTAACTAGAGGGTGCCAGAGAGTGTCCCTGCCCCTCCCCCCCTCCTTTCCTCAGAGACCACCCAGCAAACCCAGGAGGTCCGGCGGGCTAACACCTGCCTTCAGGTCTCCCACCAGCATCAGCTACTGCCCACTGACAGGTCACTCTGGGACAGCAACGCTTCTCTGCTGGCTGCCACAAGAACTCACTCAAAGCTCATGGTGACAAATGAGGAACTTCTTAGGCCTGGAAGGGTTAGGCTTATGGGAGCAGCTTCGGGAAGAGGAACCAGTTTTCCAGGCGTGGCTCACACAAGCGGTCTGCACAGGCACTTTTGGGACAAATGCCTCATTTCCAAAGGTCTCGTGGGACTGACTCACCGTGAGGCTGACTGACTCCTGCAGTCAGATGGCCAGAGCCACCTGAGCAGTGACGCCAGGGGCTGACCACGTGCCTCTGAGTGTAGGAGGCGGCAACAGGGACAGGAAGTTAAAGGAGAAAGAAGTTTTACTCTTCCTCTCCTTACTCAAAACAAGGCCTCAGGATCCCCTGAATCTTCCCTTGCATGTAAAGAATCGACTGTGTTCACAAACAAGGACAGCTCACCGCGCGGGCGGGCAGACCAGGGCCGCACAGCACCGGAGTGTCACATGCACAGTACCAAGGCATTTCACCCTCCCGGACTCCCCCCCACGGCAGGTGCAAAGCCCACCACACCTGTGCCACAGATGAGGGAACCAGGGGCAGCTGCCCAGGGCCTGCCCACTGCCACCCAGCCAGGTTTTTATCTCGTCTGTTGAGTTTTAACTGTTCACGTGGACTTAGTTTGAACAGTGTTAGAATAAGGAAAGTATGGAGGACACCTGAATGCCCTTTGTGCAGACAGGGCTCATTTCTCCCACGCCCACCTACACCTATCCTTTGTGAGCTCCCAGGCTCTTGCGCTCTCCCCACTCCCTCGCTCTCTGGCTTGGCCGAACGTTAGTCAGGCTCCCGAACCTCCTCCTGGGCCACCTGCGAGCTTCCTTGTAAAACCCAGTCCTACCGAACCTTACCTGCCGAGTCAGCTTAGCGATGACCCCACCCTGGACACCGGGATACCTGGCCGGGTCCCCGCCCCCAGGCGATGCCGATCACCTCCCCCAGCAAGAATCCCCCGACCAACCCCCACGTTTCCCCTTGGGGTCCCGCGGACCCCACCCTGCTCCAGGGCCCGTCCCCTAGCTGGCGCCGTAGGGAGCGGAGCCCGCCGTCCCCCGCACGCGGCCCCGCACGGTCCGGCCCGCCGCCCCCCGCAGCGCCTTGAATCGCCTTCCTCTAGCTAGAGCCCGCCGCGGCCCTTGTCTACACACGCGCGTGCTCCTTCCGAAGGGCAGAGGGCTTCGCCGGAAGGACACCGCAGCGCGGGCCGTCGCCCTGGGAGAGCGCCCCGCAGCGCGCGGAGGGGAGGCCGCACCGCCCGCCCCTGCCGGTCCGCTCCCCGCACGCCCGGCGTCGCGGCGGGTCCCGGGCGGGGTCCCGGCCACCCGAGCTGTCCCCGCGCCGCCCCGCGCCCACCTGGTCGGCGATGTGCTGCGTCTCGGCCGTGGCCGGCTGCGTGGCGCCGGGCGCTCCGCACATCATCTCGGCGGCGGCGGCGGACCGGGCGGAGTGCGGGCCGGGCGGCCGGACCAGTCGGGTGGACCCCGCGGCGGACGCCCCGCCCCGGTGGGCGGCGGTCACGTGGCGTGCGGACGCAACCAAGGCGCGGGGGGGACGGCCCGGTTTGGGGGCCGCGGGGTCGCCGTCCCCGGCAGGAACGGGGCCGCGGGCGGGGCGCGGCGCGGAGCCTGGCCAGGCCTCCCCCCCGTGGCGGGCGCCGCGTCCGGGCGCAGGGCCCGCGTCCCGCCACGTGGGGACGGAGGGAGGGCGCGCCCCCGCGCGGTTGGTACCGTCCCTCCCGGCGGGCGGGTCGCGAGCGCGGGGCTGGGGAGGGTGGCGAGCGGGCGGAGTCCGCGGGTGGGCGCGTCGGAGGGGCGCGGGGCAGCTGGGGGACGCCGCGTGGGGGAGGGGGGCGCGGGCCTTCGGGGGGACACGGGGTGGACGATGCACGTCTGCGGGGGGACACCGGGCGTGGGGGAGGGGGCGCGGGCCTCCGAGGGCGGGGACACGGGGCGGGGCGGTCTGCGGGGGGCGTCACAGCGCGTGACCCGGACACCCCGCGAGGGCTGAAGGCTGCTCCCCACCCCCCCCCCGGGGCGCAGGCCGCGTGGGGCAGGGGTTGGAGAAAAGGGCTTGGTTCTGTGGGATTTGGTTTAGGATTTAGATTGGACTGAACCCGCTGGGGAAGGGAAGGGTCGCTTGCCTCATTTCGGGCGGGTCGGAGCGTGTTGACAGGACTGGGCCTGTCCACCCCCAGGGTACTGGCTCTCAGGTCCCAGGGCAGGGCCCCCGCAGGAGAGCCCGCCCCGCTCCCGCTTGGCCTAGCCGCAGCCAGGTTGTGACTTCAGGGCGGGGGCGGGAGGCGGGTGTGGTTAGCCCCGGGCGGGCGGAGGAGAAGGAGACTCTCCCAGCGTGGTTGCATGAACGCAGATTTGACCCCATAAAAATGGAACACTGTTATGTGGTCCAGGAGGAGAAAGGGAGGCTTTCTGTTGTCTTTCTGGTCCGAAGCTCTGCGGGGCTATGTCTGGCGCAGGGTGTGGCCTGGATGTGCCTCCTGGTGCCTGGCCCTTGCCCTCGCTGCTGGCGCTGTGTCCGGGTGCCCACGTTTTACAAATAGGAGAGTAAGGTCCGTGGTGATAAAGGACCACCCAAGTGAGCACAAAAGGCCGGTCATTCCCGGCGGCTCGCTATGCTGGGGTCGGCCACCTGGCTTGTGTTGGCGGAGGCTTGAAGGCAGGGGGTGGCGAGACTGTGGCAGGCAAAGGGATGGTTCAGGTGTGCCCTGATAGGGTGGTGGCGGGGGACCTGGAGGAGGGGCGCACTGCAAGTGGTGTCCCGATGCAGGGGTGTCCAGCTGTATGCAGGGGGAAGTCCCCTGAACTATTGTAAGGCTGGTGGCGGCCCCCCTCCCCTCCCTAGATCAAAAAGAAAAGGCTCAGGAGCCAGACCTGCCAAGGACAGCTGCCAGGCCCTGCTGAGAGCAAACAACACCTGGATGTCCACCCAGATAAGAAAGTTTTTGGTTCCTGGATTCTGCAAATACCTCCAGCCCCTCCTATTTCTCAATGACCACCAAAGGTCACCCCAGCTCTTCCCGCCAAAAGTCCTCAGCCCACTTTAAACAGTATAAAAGCCTTCTCCCTTTTCAAACGGACGCCCTCCGCTTCTCTTGGGACCAGCGAACCCCTTCTGGGGTCTCTTTCTCTCTGTCTTGTCTCTTCGCTGCCCCTGAAAAGCTTTACGCTCGCCAAGTGGGTCCTTGGCGTTGCAGGGAAAGATTTCCAGCAAGAGTCCGCTAGTGACAGAGTTTACTGAGAGAGAGACAGCACATCGTATTCCACAGGTAGGGCTGGGGTCCACGCCCAGGCAGGAGCATGGACCCCTTGTGGGCAACAGTGACCTTTTTAAATGTTCAAAAACCCTGTTAGGAAACAGCCGTAAGGACCAGCACTGTCCTGAGGTCCAGTGGTAAAGCTCAATCACAAACCGCCGTCGTATCACAGAAAGGTGAGGTGTCCGGCTTAGTGATTCATCCCTGGGGGCCAAGCAGGTGGCTTGCTGGCGACGTCCTGTTTGGACAGTCATGGTTCCGGTACTGGACAAATGGCTGCACTCGGGCCTCGACCTTCCTCTTCTGCCTCGTGCCTCCACTGATCCCGTGGGGCTGACTTGAGGGGCGACTTGGCTTTCTCTAGTTAGTCCTAATTGGAAGGACAGAAGTCACGGAAGTGGCCCTGGCCGCGTCCTGGCCGTTCCCGGGTGACTGCGGTTGGGCTCCTGCTGTGTCCAGGAGTCTCTCCGCCCACGGTCAGGCCGTCTCTGCGTGTGTGCCTCCGTGCTGTGGGTCCTCGTGCACACAGATGTTTTCAAACCCCCGAGGAGGGCGGGCTGCGCAGCCTGACTGCCTGAGTGCCACTGGCCCTTGGTCGTACCTACCTGAAGTGTGGCATAGGGCTAATTGCTGAGCCTCTCTGTGGGGATAATACTAATGCTCACCTCAAAAGGCTTTTTTTTTTATTTATTTATTTTTTGAGACAGAGTCTCGCTTTGTTGCCCAGGCTAGAGTGAGTGCCATGGCGTCAGCCTAGCTCACAGCAACCTCAAACTCCTGGGCTCAAGCGATCCTCCTGCCTCAGCCTCCCGAGTAGCTGGGACTACAGGCATGCGCCACCATGCCCGGCTAATTTTTTCTATATATTTTTAGTTGGTGAATTGATTTCTTTCTATTTTTAGTAGAGACTGGGGCGGGGGGTCTCGATCAGGCTGGTTTCAAACTCCTGGCCTCGAGCAATCCACCCGCCTCAGCCTCCCAGAGTGCTAGGATTACAGGTGTGAGCCACCGCGCCCGGCCTCAAAAGGATTTTTTGAAAGGACTGAGTTTATAAGTACAGAAAGGTTGGGACTGCAGGGCGAGCTGCTGATATTGTTATTACTGTATTATTAGTATACTAATGTCAGTCTTACCTGTAATTTATATTTTTCTATCCAAAACTCTGGAAAATACTGACTTTTACCTCCCATGCCTTGATACTAGAGTTTTTCATTTTACTGAAGGCAGGGGGAAAAGACTAAATATCCTGTCTCCCACCTACAGTCCTAGGGGCCCACTTCAGGGACCTTGAAGTTCACCTAAATTTGAAGTCTGTATTCAGAAGGACCAAAATTTTAAATTCGAGCAGTTGTAAAATTTCACGTGTGAAATCTGATTTTCCCAGTGCAAGTAGAACCCGAGTTTTAGTCATGTATTTTCTTCTCTAAATCCCTTCTTCCCCAGCAAGCTGATCCAGTCTTTTTGCCTTCTTGTTAATACCCTTAAGCAGTGGCTCATACGCCAGTTCCTGGGGCCAGTCAGTTCTTGTGTTTTGCACGCAGAATTTCATCATCAAAATTGGCTGCTAATTAAATGCTAGCCCAAGAAACTGTTTGATTAAGAGAAAAAGAAAGGTGAAGGAAGCATTTAAACAAGCATTTATCAGCTTACCAACTCATCTTCAATGTCAAGTAAACCTGAAACTAGGTAGCCCCATGGGCAGAGCACTGCACTGTCCTGCCCTGTAGATCCCATTGCAGGCCGGGCTGCCGGGGGACCTCCTGTGGTGTGGATGGTAGCTTTGCCTCCGAGATGGGGCCCCACTAAGCGAGCCTTCGTGAGCAAAGGAAGCCGTGAGTCAACTCTGGAAGGTGGAGGGATTCACAAAAATTGGGATAAGTCAAGAGAGGGAACAGGTGTACCATGTTTCCCCAAAAATAAGACCTACCCATAAAATAAGCCCTAGCAGGATTTCTAAGCATTTGTGCAATAGAAAATGCTTTGCCCTATCCCGAAAATAAGCCCTAGCGATGGGCATGGCTATGCAGCTATCTGCACAACCCATGCATTTCGTCCTGGAGCAGTAAAGAAGACGAGCAGCCCTTCTCTTCTGCCCCATGGTGACAGCTGCTATCCCAGAGGTGACCGGAAAGGTGCGGGCAGCCCCACCTACAAGGTCGGCTGCCCCTGTCAGGTCCTGGCCATCCTGTGCGTGCTGCAAGCTGAGGCTTTGAGGGAAAATACCACGTCCCCTGAAAATAAGCCCTAGGGTGTCTCTTGAGGAAAAATAGATATAAGACCCTGTCTTATTTTCGGGGAAACACGGTACAATTTTAAAAGGCCACTGGTATAAAATAGTGGTGGGCAAAGGATTTGTAAGAAGCATCAGAAGTGGAAGGCCAGGACCCCACGTCTGGGCGTGGATGCCTTTCTGGGCGCCCCCGTGGCACGGTGTCTTGGGCTGTCCCAGCTTGTCTGTGTCTCCTGACCGCCCGTGTCCATTTTGGGGTTCCCCGGCAGACTGACTGACACCGTGCCTGTGTGGCCCCTCGGTCTGCTCCCCGCCTCGCTGCCCGGCACGGAGTAGGCACTAGGGAAATGCCGGCCTCCTTGCACACGTCCCCAGTCAACTCCAGGAGTTGTTCTTAAGGAAAACTAGTGGCTGGACATAAAAATGTCCATCACAGAATTTAGAAGCAACTACAGTGGCCAACCTCCCCCCCACAGCGAGGGGTACTGTGCAGCTAGCAAGAAGCGTTCATATTAATAGAACCGTATTTCCCCAGTTGTCCTGGTGTTTGTACCTCTTGGGGTGCTTATGGAAATTCGGGTTCCCAGGCCTTTTCCCTGGGGATCCTTTCACTGGAACAGGTGAGGTCCAGGCACTTGAGGGACTGCAGGGACACACTGAGTGTTAACAGCAGCCATCAGTCACCCGGTGTGGAATACGGGTATTTACAAACCACCTTCTCCGTGATTGTATTTTTCCAAGGTTTCTTTAAAGGGCTTTTTGTTTTTGGAAAAAAACCAGTAGTTTTATTTGGGATTACTGCATATTTTTGAAAAGTGGTACAGAAAAATGCTGGGTATGTTAGTAAAAAAAAAAAAAAAAAGATTACAAAATTACCATGATAGTGTGATTATTTTTAAAAATCTTATGCACAGAAAAGAAAGAAGGGATATGTTAGTTCCTTTAGGCCGTGAGATTTCGGGCTCCCTCCCAAAAGTTTCCTTCTTTTTCTTGTTTTCTATAACAAGAAATTGAGAAGTAAATATGGGGGAGAGGCGCCCAGCGTGGGAGTGAATGAGTTTGCAAGAAGCAGGGCTGGCCGGGAGCCGCAGCCGCAGGGAGGGGCAGGAGGCTGGGGCACAAGCACAGCCAGCGCCCGGCACACCTACGGCTCGGCTCGGGGCCCAGTGTGCGAGGAATCTGTGAGCTCTTGTTCAGAGCACCCAGAATTTCAGGATGGTGACGGCAGAGTGTCTCACCCACATGAGCCCTTCTGAGTTCAGGGCCCTGGGCAGAATGCAGGGCACCCACCCTCGCCAGGCCCTGTGGCCCGGCCTGGGCTCGTCCTCTGGCAGGCGGCTTCACCTGCAAGCCTTGCTCAGCTACAAAAGAGCAGAAATGACACCTCCCCTGTAGGACTGTTTTAAGGGTTAGAACAGGGATTAATAAAGCCCTGGGCACATAGGAGGCATGCATTAGCTGGTAGTGACTATTATTTATTTTTTCCTTTTTATGCCTCTGTAGTGGGCTGAGTAGTGTCCCCCAAAAAGTCATGTCCACCTGCAACCTCAGAACACGACCTTAATTTGGAAATAGGGTCTTTGCAGATGTGATTCATTACGATGAGGTCATACAGGATTAGGGTGGGTCCTAAAAATCCAATGGCTGTGTCCTCCTAAGAAGAGGAGAGGACACTGAGATGGGAAGAACGTTCTGGAAGACAGAGATACAGGGCAGAAGGCTGTGTGAAGACAGAGCAGAGACCGGAGAGATGCGGCCATGTGCCAAGGAACTCAGGAGCCCCCGGGAGCTGGGGGGCAGGAGGGACCCTGCCCTGGAGCCCACAGAGGAGGCAGTGCCGCCAACACCTTGATCTCGGACTTCCGGCCTCCAGAGCTGCGAGAGAATAAACTTGTGTGGTTGTAAGCCCCTCAGTTGGTAGCTCTTGGTTAGAGCGGACCTAGGAAATGGACACCAGGTGCCCGGGCACCACACGGTGTGTGCTCTCTAGCATGGAGGCAAAACTTGGCCCTAAAGACATCGTACACATCTGCTTGGCCCTATTTAATTTCAAGTTGAGCCGAGAGTCGGCCAAGGCTTAGGAAAACACACAGGACTCACGCACACGGAGTCTTCAACATCCTGGAACACAAAACACAGACAGGGCAACCTCCAGGCAGGAAGTGGGGCGACGTGACGTTGTGGGGAGATGAGAGATGTGGGTCTTCGTTATCTGTGGAATAACTGTGCACCCTCCTGTTGCTAAAGGGGCACAGTGAGCCGCTTCCAGCTCCTTCTACACACCCTCACCCTCCGGCGCTGCCTCAAACCCCCGGCAAAAACCCCTGCTGTCAGGACCTGATGGCATAGTGGGTAGTGTGTATGTGAGTAACATTGGGAGATGTATTCTTCTTCCCTAAATTCTCATCAGACTTTCTTTTACTTTTTCAATTTTTCTTTTTCTTTCTTTTTTTTTTTTTTTTGAGACAGTCTCACTCTGTTGCCCGGGCTAGAGTGCCGTGGCGTCAGCCTAGCTCACACCAACCTCAGACTCCTGGGCTCAAGCAATCCTCCTGCCTCAGCCTCCCCAGTAGCTGGGACTACAGGCATGCGCCATCATGCCCGGCTGATTTTTTCTATATATTTTTAGTTGGCCAATTAATTTCTTTCTATTTTTAGTAGAGACAGGGTCTCACTCTTGCTCAGGCTGGTCTCGAACTCCTGACCTTGAGCGATCCGCCCACCTCGGCCTCCCAGAGTGCTAGGATTACGGGCGTGAGCCACCGAGCCCGGCCACTTTTTCAATTTTTAAGACTTTTTATATTGAAATAATTTTAGGTTACAAAAATAGAATTCCTGTAAACTCTTCATCCAGTTTTCCCAAATGCTAACGTCTTATGTAAGCACGGTATAGACACCATACCACTAACTCGCCAACACAATTCACTGCTGTCCCAGCTACATCGAATCTCTTCTGGAGAGGCCTTCATCAACTCCAGTCTACAACAGTTCATTTAGGCCAGGCACGGTGGCTCACGCCTGTAATCCCAGCACTCCGGGAGGCCAAGGTGGGAGGATAGCTCAAGGTCAGGAGTTCGAAACCAGCCTGAGCAAGAGCAAGACCCCATCTCTACTAAAAATAGAAATAAATTGGCCAACTATATATATATATATATATATATATATATATATATATAATTAGCCAGGCATAGTGGTGCACACCTGTAGTCCCAGCTACTTGGGAGGCTGAGGCAGGAGGATCGCTTGAGCCCAGCAGTTTGAGGTTGCTGTGAGCTAGGCTGATGCCATGGCACTCTAGCCCGGGCAACAGAGTGAGACTCTGTCTCAAAAATAAATAAATAAATAAAACAGTTCCTTTGTCTTTCTTGCTTTTTCGTGCCTTTGACATTTTTAACCAGTATCAGTTAATCATTTTGAGGGATGTTTGTCAGTTTGGGCTCAGGAATGGCGATGCACGCCCTCCATGCATATGGTGAGGCCTGCGGTGTTGGTGTGTCTTATCACTGCTCACGCTGACCTCAAGCACTGAGTGAAAGGCTGTCTGCCAGACTTCTCCTTTGTGAAGGTACCTTGTAAGTACCTTTGAGACTTTGCAAACACCATATCTCTTACCATGCTTTTCGCCTACTATAGTATCCATAGATGGTTCTAAAAATAGATTTTTTAAATTTCCTAAAAGAGGGATAATTTTGCATTTACTAATTAACATAAATAAGTCTCGGCCGGGCGAGGTGGCTCACACCTGTAATCCTAGCACTCTGGGAGGCTCAGGTGGGAGGATCCCTCCAGATCAGGAGTTCGAGACCAGCCTGAGCAAGAGTGAGAACCCCCTCACCCCTTATCTACTAAAAATAGAAAGAAATTAGCTGGACAACTAAAAAATTAGCCGGGCATGGTGGCACGTGCCTGTAGTCCCAGCTACTCAGGAGGCTGAGGCAGAAGGATTGCTTGAGCCCAGGAGTTTGAGGTTGCTGTGAGCTAGGCTGAAGCCACGGCACTCTAGCCCGGTTAACAGAGTGAGACTCTGTCTCAAAAAAAAAAAAAAGAAAAGAAAACATTTTCAAACATAGAAAAAGCTGGAACAATAGGGCAATGAGCACGTGCAGTCCCACCACTAGGTCCCACACTTGTTAACCTTTTGCCATATTTCCTTATCTCCACGTTATGTGTCCATATGTGTGTATAATTATATTATTTATTTTTTTTTGCAGAGTTAACCTCCAGACATCATGACACTTTGCCCTTACCAAGTAGGTCAGTATGGTCTTTCACTAATTCTGTCACTAAAAATAAAGGACATTCTTCTATGTCAAGGGTTGGCAAACTGTGGTCCTAGGCCAAATCTGGCCACCACCTGTTTTTAAAAATAAAGTTTTGCAAGGCTGGGTGCAGTGGCTCATGCCTGCAATCCCAGCGCTTTGAGAGGCCAGGAGTTCCACACCTGCCTGGGCAACATAGCAAGACCCCCATCTCTACAGATTTTTTTTTTTTTTTAAGTTTTATTGTAACACTGCCATGCCCATTCATTTATGTACCGTCCATAGCCACTTTTGCACGACCATGGCCGAGTTGCTTGGCTTACAGAGCTGAAAGCATTTCCTGTCTGCCCTGTGCAGGAAAGAGCTGACATAGCAGGCCTGACTCCTGTCCTCTGAAAGGCCTGCTTTCAAGCCTGGCACTGCCCTGGCAACTTGGGTTGGGGGGTGGGGGGTGGCTGTTCCCACCATTCCCTGATAAGAGGAATGTGGCGACCTAAACTCTTTGCACAACAAGTACGGCCTATGCTGAACACCTGCTTTCCTTCTGGGAGTCCATCTCGGTCCATGCCAGGCAGAGGTGCCCTGGGGGTCACCAGCAAAGCCCCTGGGCACTGAGTCTGTAACCGGCTTCCCAGGCTGGCAGTATTCCACACGCGTGCTCGCAGCTGGCTGCTGCGGGGCTTGGGCGTGTCCCGTGCGACTCCCCAGGAAAGACCTCGGGGGAGCTTGTGCCTGGGCCCCGCTCCGCCCCGCGCGTCTTTCCCCGTGCAGAGTTTGCTCAGTCTTTTCTGCGTAACAAACTGCGGCAGGGACGCAACCGCGCGCCCAGGCCTGCGGGCGAGTCCTCCCGGGAAACCCCAGTCCTAGGTGGTCCCTGCGGGAACAGGCCCTTCCGAGGAAAGGTTTGCAGGGCCCGGGCTGCACGGACGCCGCGCCCGCACCGAATAAACGCTCTCTCTGTGCGGTAACGCCTAGCCCGCGCGCACGTCTCCCCAACTGCCCCCAAATCGGCTTCTATGGCTTCTGTTCCCACCCAGGCGAGTGACGCACTCCTGACTCCCAGATGCGCGTGCCCTTGAGCGGCGCCGGCGAGTGCGCGCCCCCGGGCACGCGCCCCCACAGCGGCGCCGGCCGCGCGCTCCCGCCTCCAGCCCAGGCCGCAGCCCTCCGCTGCAGTTGCGCCGCCCGGCCACTGCGCGGCGGTGTCGTGCGGCGTCGCGGGCGTGTGACGTCGGTCCGCGCGCCGGCGAGCGGCGGAAGCGGGCACGCGAGAGAGTCGCTGGAGTTGGTGTCTCTGGGTCTTGGGGTTGCGGCCGCCGTCATGGTTTCGCGCGTGCAGCTCCCCCCGGAGATCCAGCTGGCGCAGCGCCTGGCGGGGAACGAGCAGGTGACCCGGGACCGGGCGGTGAGGAAGCTCCGGAAGTACATCGTGGCCCGGACTCAGCACGCCGCAGGTTGGCGGGTGCGGGCCGGGGGTGCGGGGCGCGGGGCGGCCGGGCCTCGGGGCCGCACGGGCCTGCACGTGGCCGGGAGGGCACAAGGGCCCGCGGGCCTTTCCCCGCGCGGCGCTTCCCCGCGTGGTGCGCTGGCGTGTGTCCCCTCTGGTCGGACCTCCCGGCGCCCACTCCTCTCGCGGGTCCCTGCAGTGGGCCTTACACCCCTGCCTCCCTGCTGTCGGGCACCCCGTGTTTTTCCCTCAGGCAGCATTGACCGCCGCGGGCAGTTTTCTTTTTCTGTGATTGTTGGATCGTTTTCTGAGTTCCACTCGAGGCCGGGAATGTGCTTAACTCTTCCTTGTATCAGTGGTTCTCGAAGTGTCCCTCCGTGCCACCTTTGGCAGCTGAGTGTCACCTGGGCAGTCTGTCACGCCCACATCTCAGCACTTGGGCAGGCTGGGGTGGGAAGATTGCCTGAGCCCAAGAGGCTGCAGTGAACTGGTTGCCCCAGTGCACGCCAGCCTGGGGGACAGAGCCAGACCCCACCTCTAAAAACAGAAATGCACACTCTATTTTTTGTCTGTTTTTAAGTATTTATTTATTTACTTGCTTACTTATTGATTGATTTGTTTGACAGAGTCTTGCTTTGTTGCCCGGGCTAGATTGCCAAGCGTCAGCCTAGCTCACAGCAACCTCAAACTCCTAGGTTCAAGTGATCCTCCTGCCTCAGCTTCCTGAGTAGCTGGGACTACTGGCACATGCCACCACACCTGGCTAATTGTTTCTATTTTTAGTTACCCAGCTAATTTCTTTATATTTTTAGTAGAGAGGGGGTCTCACTCTTGCTGATGCTGTTCTTGAACTCCTGACCTCAAGCGATCCTCACCCATTGGCTTCCCAGAGTACTAGGATTACAGGCATGAGCCACCATGCCCAGTCAGAAATGCATATTCTAGAGTCCCATCCCAGCTGAGCCAAATCAGGACCAGCCATCTGTGTTTCTGGCAGCCTCCAGGTGATTCTGACACACTGAGAACCACTGCTCCAGGAACAGGGTGCCAGACACAAGGACCTCCGTGAATATTTGTCAACCGAGTGATTTTCTATCTCTGTCTCCATTGCTAGCCTAAACGACTAAGTTGATTTTTTTCTTTTAATATTCGAGGTATAGCACAGAAAAGTGCACAAACCCTCTGTTAATGCAGGATGAATTATCAACAACAAATTAACCTGTGTGGCCACCATTCAGCTCAGGAAGTGGTTGAAGTTCTCAATTTTGAATCTCCAACCGGGAGTAGCATGCCTGATACCTTGTAGATTCTCCATGAGTTTTACTGCATGAATGCAGTGGCAGTTACCGCAGGGGCAGCAGGTTCTGCGTCATAGGGTTGTTTGAAGGCGGGGGCTGGACTCAGCTCCCCGCTTGCCTTTAATGTAAAGTAGGGCATAGGTCTAATTTAGGCGGTTATGTTTCTCTTGCTTCCTTCTTGGCACTCAGAGGTTGAGTTCACTTAGTCTGAATGTTGCTGTTTCGATGCAGGTGGTTTCAGTCATGACGAGTTGCTGAAGGTGTGGAAAGGGCTCTTCTATTGCATGTGGATGCAGGACAAGCCGCTCCTGCAGGTGAGTGGACGGGTGGGGTGAGTGGAAGGAGCTGCGGTGGGAGGACAGGTGGGCATGCGGTTGACTCCATTTGAATACAGCCAGAGACCTGGCAGAGTTTTGTAGCCTCAGTGGTGCCCAGGCCTTTGGTTAGAGGCCTTGCTGAGGACGTGGGGGTGGTTTACTGAGTTGTGGCACCATAGCCACGGTGGTGGTAGGCAGTGCAGGTAATGGCTTGGGTGAAAACTGGGTGGTTCTGTGTTTGTCCCAAGTCACCAACAAGAAAATAATGGAAACCAAGGGACAGAGTCCTCTGAGCAAGGATTTCTCCTGCCAGCCTTTTGAGAACAGTGTTTCTCAAAGTGTGGATTATTTTCTCTCCTTCAAAATCCCCTGGGTGGTGAGGGTACTTACTTAAGTGTGGATTCCTGGACCATATTCCATGTTTACTAACCTACCATCTCTCAAGGGGGGGCTCTGGAATCTTTTGTCTTAGCAAGTGCTCTGGGTGATGCTTGCTTGGTACAGTGATACAGGCAGGCATTGGGTGGTTTATGGGGATCCGGTCGGCCCCTTCTGCTAGTAAGAGGCTCCCTTCTGCTGTCCTCCTCTCCCCCAGACGTTGGCCTCATTGTCCAGGGCACAGCCTTAGTCACGAGGCAGGGACTGCGTCTGTGGCCCCCACTGGCCAAGCCTTTCACAGCAGGGGTCCAACGTGCAAACCTCCAGTCCGCCGGGCCGAGACCCGCTGGAGCTGGTCGAGTGGACAAGACAGTCGAGTGTGTTTGTCTCGTCATTGTACGATTTCAGTGCTCCAGACACTGAGTGCATTTTTATTGGTCCCTGCACAGGAAGAACTAGGAAGAACTATTTCTCAGCTCGTGCATGCATTTCAGACCACAGAGGCACGTGAGTATACTCTGCCATGGTTATGCCCATTTGTACACGTCGGCATCTGAGCGTCAGAGCCGCCAGACAGAGGAGGTTTATGTTCTGAAGTCTAGAGCAGGTAATACCTAAGCAAGAGAGAGAGCCAACCAGTGTGTCCTGGGGCTTATCATGTCTGAAACACTGCCGTGAGTGTTCAGCATGTATTAACTCACCCAAAATAGACTCAGTTCAAGAGTCTAAAGGACTAATATTTTACAGTTTTAAATAAAAATGAAAAGCTGATATGATGCTACCAAGGTATTTGACTGAATGCCAGTTGACAGTTGTGAAGTTCCTGCCGTTACTTTTCCGGACTCTTCTGTTTTGTATCCTGACCATCGTGAGTGGTTCCCGCCCCACCTGCCGGTGAGATGTCCAGACCCCGTCTGGCTGAACCGAGCTCTGGGGGAGGGGCCTGGACATCAGCATTCTAGACTCCCCTTGTGGGCGGCTGGTGCAGGGAAGCTGCCAGGACCTTGCTGCTGGCTTTCTTGGTGGCTTCGCTGCGGCTGTGCTGAGGTGGCAGAGCAGTCAGCGCCTGGGCAGTGCACAGTCAGTTACGGTGACTAGATTCTCAAATCGGGAGAATCTCTTTAATTGCATTTGAGTAGATCTGTCCTCCATAATTACTTTCTAAGAACTTGCAGAATAGGCTGGGCGAGGTGGCTCATGGCTATAAACCTAGCACTCTGGGAGGCTGAGGCGGGTGGATTGCTCAAAGTCAGGAGTTCAAAACCAGCCTGAGCAAGAACGAGATCCTGTCTCTATTATAAATGGAAAGAAATTAATTGGCTAACTAATATATATAGAAAAAACATTAGCCGGGCATGGTGACGCATGCCTGTAGTCCCAGCTACTTGGGAGGCTGAGGCAGGAGGATCGCTTGAGCCCAGGAGTTTGAGGTTGCCGTGAAGTAGGCTGATGCCACGGCACTCACTCTAGCCTGGGCAACAAAGTGAGACTCTGTCTCAAAAAAACCAAAAAGACAAAAGAACTTGTAGAATAGTTTGCTCAGCACAATGCCAAGTGTAAATCAAAGGTTCACTCATACATAACACTTGTATGATTTAGCGAGCACGGGCCTGCTGTTATTGAGCCATGTAGCCAACGTGTGCTGCTGCAGAAACTGATTTGAGATGTGAGCCGCCCTCTGTGTCCCAGGATCAGGGTGCTGGCGGTGTTGGCTGCTCTCCTTGGCTTGTATATGGCTGTCTTCCACGTGGTCTTCTTTCTGTGCACGTGAGCGCCTGTGTCCTAGTCTCTTCCTCTTTTTTCTTTTTTCGAGACATTGTCTTAACTCTCTCACCTGGCTGGAGTGCAGTGGCCCTATCCTAGCTCACTGCAGCCTGAACTCCTGGGACCAAGGGATCCTCCTGCCTCAGCCTCCCAAGTAGTTGGGACTACAGGCTCACACCACCACGCCCAACTTGCCCAACTGGCTGTGTTGCCCAGGGTGGTCTCTGACTCCTGGCCTCAGATGATCCTCCCACCTCCCCTGAGCCTCGCAACCTGCTAGGATTACGGGCATGAGCCACTGCCCCTGGTCTAGTCTCCTCCTGTTACAAGGAGACACCAGTCAGATTGGATTAGGGCCCACACTAATGACCTCATTTCACCTGAATTACCTCTGTAAAGGCCCAGTCTCCAAATCACAGTCACATTATGAGGAACTAGGAGTTAGGATTTCAACATTCGAATTTTGAGGGACACAATTCAGCTCACAGCACCAGACATCTGCAGGGTTATTGTCTGGTTAGGTTAGTGGGTCTAGTGTGGCCGGTGTGCGCGTGCAGTTAGGCTGCCACAGAGAGGTCAGACGTGGGTGTCAGGTGGTCTCAGCCCAGGATAGGGCAGGGGTGGCTGGGAGGAAAATGCCTGAGCAGCCGCTTCTCTGGCGGCTGCGCTCCCTCTTTGTTTCCGTTTTGCAGAATGTGGCTGTAGTTCTGTGCTTTGCTTTGCTTTCCGAAGTGCATAATAGCCGTTTTTAATTTTCTATTTTATTTTATTTTTATTTATTTATTTTTTGAGACAGACTCTCACTCTGTTGCCCGGGCTAGAGTGCCGTGGCATCAGCCTAGCTCACAGCAACCTCCAACTCCTGGGCTCAAGTGATCCTCCTGCTTCAACCTCCCGAGTAGCTGGGACTACAGGCACGCGCCACCATGCTCAGCTAATTTTTTCTATTTTTAGTTGTTTGGCTAATTTCTTTCTATTTATAGTAGAGACAGGGTCTTGTTCTTGCTCAGGCTGGTCTCAAACTCCTGAGCTCAAGCTATCCTCCCGCCTCAGCCTCCCAGAGTGCTAGGATTATAGGTGTGAGCCACCCTGCTCGGCTTACCCCTGTTTTTTAAGACGAATACATAGCACTGCTTCTCAGCTCAGCAAACCCTGGGGCTGAGACATCCCAGGGGTTGCGTGTAAGTGACTTCCTGAACAGGTCCCTTTATGTTCCCACCTCCCCTCCCACGGTGGCCTCTGCATTCCTTGGTGCTTCTCTTCTGGCTTTAATGTCGGGCCCTTCCCTCCCCAGAGCACCTGTTCCTCCAGACGTTCTGGCAAACCATGAATCGAGAGTGGACGGGCATAGACAGGCTGCGCCTGGACAAGTTCTACATGGTAAGACAGCCTCGGGTTCACTCGGACTCGGGGCAAGTGCAGGTCTCAGTACCCAGCGGGGCAGAAACAGGCCGTGGGCCCATATGGCAGCGTCTGGCCTCAGCTCTGTCTGTCCCCGTGCTTTGTGCAGAGAGGCGAGCCTGAGGTGGTGTGACCCTGTATGTCCCGTGGGCTTAGAGGTGGAACCGCAGCTCTGCCCACTGGACATGCCTCAGACTCCGCAGCCTTTGTCTCGGCCTCTGAGAGCGAGCAAGTGGGCAAAGACTTTGATTCTTTAAAACACCTACGCAGTTTGCGGTTCAGAGGGGCTTACAGTTGCCACCTTGCTAAGAGGCAGCAGCCCTCGGGCACGGCAGAGGCGGCGAGGCCGGGCTGGGTCTGCTGTGGAGTGCTGAGCCGGCGAAGACTTTTCTTCTAGGCGGGGATGGCGATTATGTCATAGTGTAGAACTTCCTTTTTCTTTCTCCTTTTTATGTTGCTTTCTTACTCGCCCTGAGGAATAAAGGGGAGAACTGGGTCTGACAGTGTTTTGCTGCTCCGGCCTCCTTCCCCAGTGTCCTTCCTTTTGAACTTTGAGTCTTGTTACCAGGTGCTGGTAATCCCAAGATAAAGGGCTGTTGTCACTGTCCAGGAGCTGGTGACTCATGAGGACACCAAATGGGGCAGCGTCTGGGCCTCCCTGAGGACAGGTCCTGGTCTGCCACTCAGGCTCAGGGTCAGCCCAGGATTATGTGTATAGTGTGTGTGAGGGATCCCAAAAGGCCCACCTGGCGAGGACAGCATGGCAGACTTGGGGCTGGACGGGCCATGTTGCACTGGTGCCAAGTGCAGATTGTGAGTCACAGGAGCTCTTTCGTCACGTCACCTCACTATTCTGCTGAGACACAATTGCTGGGCCCTTTTATATGACGGATTCTGTCACTTTTCAAGGCCATTTCCCATGTTCCCCCTTGTGTGATCAAGTCCAGCCTAACAGCCTTGCACAAGGGCTAGCAGCTCGAGACTGGAGGGAGTAATGAGAGACAGGCCTCCCGTGTCCCTAACACGGCGTCTCGGCTGCCAGGGTGCGCTCTGTGGTAGTGGTTCTTGGGGGTCTGTGTGTTTGCTTTTTACTGTGACTGGAGCCCTCTGCGGGCACGGCGTGTTAGTACTCATGGAAAACCACAGGAAAGGCTTTTTTTGAGACAGAGTCTTGCTCTGTTGCTCAGGCTAGAGTGCTGTGGTGTGAGGCTAGCTCACTGCAACCTCAGACTCCTGGGCTCAAAGCAATCCTCCTCCCTCAGCCTCCCGAGTTGCTAGGACTACAGGCATGCGCCACCATGCCCAGCTAATTTTTTTTCTATTTTTAGTTGCCCTGATAATTTCTTTCTATTTTTAGTAGAGACGGGGTCTTGCGCTTGCTGAGGCTGGTCTCAAACTCCTGATCTCAAGTGATCCTCCCTCCTCGGCCTCCCAGAGTGCTGGGATTACAGCCACTACCACGCTAGGCCCACAGAAAAGGCATTGGACCATCTGAGAGGGCTGGGGGGCTGGTGGCAGATGTCGGAGCTTTACTTCTGTTATGAGGCTTATCGGGAGGGCCTTCACCGAGTCACAGAGCGGAGCAGCAGGCTGGGTTCTGTGCCCACCGGGAGAGAAGTCCCTGGGAGCTTGCAGAAGACACGTCACGTTCAGACCCAGTTTTGCGGAGGGCTCTGCCTCCTGTGGGAGGAGCTGTACTGCCTTCCCTGTTCTCACTTCTGGAACGGCTCCAGTTCATGGACTGGACTTGCTAGCCAAACTTCTCCACTGAGCCTGACTTCCTGCTGCTCTCGGAAAGTTGGGGTGTCTCTCCCAGGTGGTTGGTGCATTCCCAGGGTCCTGGGGCTTGGTATCGTGCCCATGGGCATTGACCCTGTCACTAGCTCTCGAGGGCCTGCTGTGTGCTCTGGGGCAGGCAGAGGTGAGTGACCATGGTCACAGCCCTGTCCGCAAGCGGCTCTTAGAACACTGGTAGGGGGTGGGGGTGGCACGTGTGGTGAGGTCCTCGGGCTGTGCTCCCACTAACGCGTGTCTCCTTTTGTGCCAAAGCTCATGCGGATGGTCCTGAACGAGTCCTTCAAGACGGTGAAAGCGCGAGGATGGGAGGACAGGTTGGTATGCCGACACCTGCTCCCCATGGGTGAGCCCTGAGGGCAGGCCGTGTTCAGGGGCATTGGGGTCCCGTGTTCTCATTGTCAGAAAGAGACATAGCCTTTCCGTCAAACGGTGCTTAAAGTGAAGGCATTTTCCAAAATCAAATTTGTTGATGTGTTGGTGGACATGACTCCATTTGTTTTTGGTCTCAATGGTACGATCTTAACAGGCGGCAGAGCCGAGGCCTCTGACGTGCAGCTGAGGAGCCTTTGTGACAACGTCCAGCCCGGTTCTCAGTGGTAGTTGCCCCCAGGTCTAAAAATACTAACCCGTCCAGCCTTCTCGCTCTCCACAGCAGTGCGTGGGGCGGGCAGTCTGTGTGCCCCAGCTGCCTGCTGCTGTGTTCTGTGTGACCTTGGGCTCCCGAGGCACCGAGCCCTGTTCTGCACTCTGCCTGGTCCCAGCTCCTCCTGGAGCCCCCGGGGCCTGGGTCACCTGAAGCTGTTCATCCGAGTTAGGGTGGCAGGTTCCACCTTCAGGTGGCAGTCTGAGTTCCACAACACAACGGGGTTTTTGAGTGTTTAACGTTTTAAAGTTCCTAAAATTAATTAAAGATTTTAAAATTGTTTCGTAGTTTTGTTCTAATTATGAGTGATGCATACTCCGTATAAAGAGATAGTTGTTACATGTGACGGGTGCTGCAGCCGTCGTTTGGTGGGTGTTCACGCAAGTGGCATAGAGAACACGCTCGCGGGCTGCTCTTCTGTTTCACTGAAGACGTATCAGAAACATCCCCTGTTGGGTTCTGCTGCTGTGTGGTCTTTTTTTTTTTTAAGGGGGAGAGGAGCTTAGAAAAAAATACATTTGGAATTGATTTGTAATTTAAAAGTGTATGTTAAAAGGAGTTGATCTTGAGTATACGAGGATGAAAACTAGTACCCAGGTGTCAGAGTAGCTGTCAGACCAGCCTACGGCTCGCAGCCCACGTTAGCGTAGGGCTTTCTTACCTTCGGGATTACAAAACCAGCAGATTCTTGCTCCAGCCCGCTTTTCTCCTTCCCTTGTGAAGAAGCGTCAGCAGGAGTTCGCTGTAGTTGCCTGAACTTCCCTAGATTTGAATTGCTGAGAGAGTCGTACACCTAGGGCAGCCGTGCTCTGGTGTGCCGTGGCTTCCGTCCTTGAGTTGCCTGGGAGGGAGGACTTGGCGGCCAGGACTCCTGCTCATCTTAGGACTTAGTGTTGTGGGTTACCCCACTGGGATCTAGTGACTTAATCTGAATTAAATGTTAAAGGGACGATTTTATTTTAGTTAACTTTTTTGGCTTATTATAAAAGTAATTTCATCTTCACTGTAACTAGTAATTCCATGCAGAGATCCTTGGGAACAAATTGGTTAACTTCTCCCTTTGGCCTGGGACATTCAGTGCGGAGAGTTTGACCTACTCTTCTAGCCTCTCTCAGCTCTCCTGCAAACATAGCTTTTTGTTTTTTTAGTGCTGGGTGGTTCATGACTAGCCTGAGGAGTGGGTTTCCTGCCTCTGGGTGTCTTCTTCCTGATTTGCACCTGATCTTGTCTGTGTCCTTTTTCCTGAGCCTTGTAGAGGCCATCGCTTTCCTTTCTATAACCAGGGGTTCCCAACCCCGCTGTGCATCCAGATCGTCCAGGGAGCTTCTTTATTTATTTATTTATTTTAAGTTTTTAATTTTTTTTCCTTTTTTTTAAATTTCAGCATATCATAGGGGTACAAATGTTAAGGTTATGTATATTGCCCATGCCCCAGGGAGCTTCTTGGAGGATACACATGTGTGAGTCAGGGTGCAGGGTCTGCATTACCAAGCACTCCAGGCGTTTCAGATGCATCTAGACTGTTAGAGTGGTCTTTGGGGCTCTCCAGTCTTAGGATCCAGGGCCTATGAGGCCATCAGACCCACATGGCAGGAAGAGCCCTGGCACACGCTGTGGGTGGAGTGCTCGATGGAGCAGGGCCTGGGCAGCCAGCGAGTGGCGTGCAGTCCTCAGCCCCTGCCTGGGCCTCTGTCTTCCTTTTTGCCTGTGCTCCGTCCTGCTGTGTCTTCCCAAGCGGGACCCAGTGGGGACAGTGGACAGGAAAGCCAGGCAAGGTGGTGGTAGTCTCCTGCCTCAGCCAGGACTTTGTCCCCCTGCTAACAGCCTGGAGGACAGAGGAAGGCCTGTTGGAATGAGTGCAGGTGTTGCATTTTGTAGCTGAGATCCAAACTCACACGCGTGTTCTAGTGCTGGTCACAGAAATGTAATTGCAGGCCGGCTTTGTGTCGGAATGGACACAGGCTTGTCCGACGCTCTTCACCTGTGGGGATGTGGGAGTCGGCACGTTTGCGGACGGTGGTGTCTGTCTGTGCTTGCGTTCCCGGCAGAGCTTGTGACTGGGGGCGGGAGGGGCGAGAGTGCAGACCTGTCGTGGCTGCCCGCGGGACGAGCCTTCCTTTCCTCAGACAGATCGAGCAGCTGCTGGAGCTGCTGACGACCGAGATCCTGCACCCCAGCAGCCAGGCCCCCCACGGGGTGAAGAGCCACTTCATCGAGATCTTTCTGGAGGAGCTGACCAAAGTGGGCGCCGAGGAGGTGAGGCTGGGCCCAGCGGGCGGCTGAGCTCCTCGCGGGCGATTGTGGGCGAGGAGCTGAGCCCGTTTGCTTCCCCGCAGCTCACCGCAGAGCAGAACCTCAAGTTCGTCGACCCCTTCTGCAGAGTCGCCGCCCGCACCAAGGAGTGAGTGGCAGGCGGCCTGGGCAGGCCTGACTCTTTTCCTCTGAGTTCTCGGGGTGCCCACTGCCTTTGGGGGGGTGCTGCTCCCTCTAGGGAAGAGTGGCAGGCTGCGTCAGCCATTTCCGGGGGCAGGAGAGGCTGGTGGCCGAGCGGTGGGGTGAGTGGCAGGAAGGCTCGGTGCTGCTATCTGAGAACCGGCCTAATGCGCCCGCTCTGCCCCAGCTCCCTGGTTCTGCATAGCATCACTCGGGGCGTCTTCGAGACCATCGTGGAGCAGGCCCCCTTTGCCATCGAGGACCTGATGAGGGAACTGGACGCACAGAGTGAGGAGGAAGAGGAAGGGGCATCAGATGGTGACGAGTCCTCGGAGGGCAGTGAGGACACACGAGACCTGCCGTCCCAGAAGAGGTCTGAGAAGCTGCCTGCAGGTGGGGATCGCACGTCTGGGTCCGAGGGTGTCGAGCCGCCTTCATGGCGCCTGTCCTGGGCAGGGCCCCGGTGGTCTCTTGCTGGAGCAGTGCGGCCACCTCCTGGCTGGTCCCCTTGTTTACGCCCTCAGCCCCACAGTCTGCCCCCCTCTTCCTGGCCTCCCTCCCCACAGAGGACAGGGCACTCTTTCTGTCTGGATCGCGTCTGGGTCCCGCACGAGAGTGGCACCTGGTTGCTGCAGGGCGGGTGCACGGTGGGAACTCGAGCTTGGGAACTTCCCACCGAAGGGCCTTGTGGCCTGGGCGGTGGTGCTCCAGCTCGAGGTGTCCAGCCTGGCCTGTTTCCGGTCAGGACGCTGGGGTCATTGTCCGACTGCTGGGCAGTCTGGGCACTGAGTGTCGTGTCCTTTGCCGTAAAGGCTGTGTCGTCAGCCATTCTCAGGACGCCCCTCTGGCTCTTGGTGCCGCTGTTGTGCACCCTGTGGCTTTGTTAGAAGATGCCCCCACCCTGGCACTCAATCCGCCGTCCTGTGAGCCTCTGCCCCTGCCTTGTCCTTGTCCTGCTCACTCAGTGGCCAAGTCATCCAGAGCCGACCCTTGGGCCCGGCAGTTGTCACCCTTGCTGCATGCTGCCCCCAGCTGCCTGCTGTCCCAGAGCTGCTCGGCAGGCAGTGCCACGAGAGCCGAGACCAAGGTGCTGTGTGCACCGTCTTCGATCCAGGCCCAGCTTGGAGCTGGACTCGGCCACCCTTCCTCTCTTCTGGAACCGGGACACTGTCTGTGCTGCCTGAGGTGCCCCTTTTCATGGCTCTCTAAGGGCTGGGCAGGCGCCACGGCCCCAGGACGTCTTCCCGCATTCCCGGGCCCCAGGCAGCATGTGCCCCTGCCCACAAGGCCGCCGTGAGCTGGGGGCTCTCCCAGCCTTTGCCCCAGCTCAGCATGCCGAGAGTCGAGTGGCCTGTGGTCCCCAGGTGTCTGTTGGGGCCCTGCACGTGTCAGGTGCAGGTCTGTGAGCTCACGGGTCCCTTTTCTTCTAGGCTCCATCCGCAGAGCTGAGCCTGACGTGGGCCAGGAGCAGTGGGAGGACGACAGGGACGGCCCCGTCCTCCAGGTGGGTGCCTGGGCTTGTGGCTGCGTTCTCGGCCTTTGCCCACCTTCCCCGCTGACTCTGGGAAGGAGAGGTGGCTGCCGTTGACCTAGAAGGCAGCCTTCACGGGAGGTCTTTGTACCGTAGAGGCCAGCATTGCAGGAAGGACGGGGGCCCTGCACACGGGTGGGAGGAGCGGTCACTGGGGACGGGCGGGGCGCTCAGCAGACCCACGCTTTCCAGGCCTGGCTGTGCCTCGCGTGCTCCTTTCACCTGGCACGTGGCCAGCACCCCGAGATCTCCTGCCACCTGCATCGGGGGCAGGGTTGGATGGGGTGGCCTATGGCGAGTGGTTGGCCTGCTTGGTCCCAGCTCAGTCACCTCGGCCGCTGGGGTCTGCGACTCCTGGCAAGTTGGAAATGTAAACCGTCCTAGTATGTTTTAAGTAGGACTATTTGTGGAATTAATGACATTTTTGGGTTAGATAAAATTTATCAAGCTCATGGTCTCTGCAGCTCCTTTCGGGCAGTGCTGCCCTGGAGCACGTGTGGTACCTGCTGTTGTTCCGTAGACAGTTGGCGTGGGCCGCAGAAATGTTCTGCGACATAGAGGGGTGTTCTTGTGAGCCGAGTAGAGGACCCGCACGTGGGACCGAGTGCCTTCTCCGTCTGATGAGTTCCAAGTTCTCAGAGCGGGAGGAGGGTGACTGACGTGTCTCTGTGGCTTCTCTCTGCAACAGTTTGACTACGGAGCGCTTGCGAACAGACTGTTCGAAACGGCCAGCCGACAGAGCACCCCTTCCCACAACAGGAAGCGTCTCTACAAGGTGATCCGAAAGTGAGTGTCCCTCCGGAGGTGGCAGGCGGGCCCTTCCCACTGCCCTGGGGCCGCCCTCGGCTCCCTTAGCTCCGGCTGCCTTCGCTTGCTGTGGCCTCTCTGGAGTGGCCTCGGCCAGGCCGGAGTTCTGCGGGGCTCCCCCGGGAAGGCGGCTCGGCGAGGGCAGTGTGCTCTGGGGCCCCTCTGCGGCCCCAGGGCGCCCCTCGCTGGGATTCTGAAGCTCCCTCTGTGGTCGCAGCTTCCCTCTCTGCAGAAATCACAGCCGTGGCGAGTGACGGTGTCTCGTCTGTTTCTTTAGGTTGCAGGACCTGGCAGGAGGTGAGGATTGGGCTGGGCTTCCAGAGCGCCTCCCCCACGCCTTGCGAGTCCGTCTCCGTGGCAGCGGATTGCTTCCCTGTGTCTCCTCGCAGCGCGCGGGGTCTCGCAAAGAGGCCTGGTGGCGGTTCTGGGCGAGAGGGAGGCAAGGCCAGGGATGCCACAGCTCTCGTCTTTGTGGCTTTGCTGAGTGCTTCTCAGTCTGGAGAACTGGAGACGGGTGCTGCCCCAGGGCTCCGGTGCTGCGCTGCTGGTCTGCGTAGTGTGTGGCTGGTGGCGCTGGCGTAGGTTGTCTGAAAGTTCTTAGGACCTGGGAGGGTTATGGTTGGAGAGGTGAGCATTGCCCCAGCATTTCATGATGAGAAATTTCAAACATAGGCAGTTGGGAGGATTTTATAGTGGCTACCTCGATTCCGACATTAGCATTTACTGTCCTTGTGTTGTCATGTAAGTACCCGCTGACCCAGCCCTCTGCCCCTGCTCAGACCCCATGGCCGAGTGCTGCGGCACACACACTGTGAACTACAGTCCGGGTGCATTAGGGACGGCTTGCCCGAAGCCCAGTGCGTGATGCTGAGTCTGTCTGGGGGCTTTGGGCCACCACGTGGGCTGTGTAACCTGAACCTCTGTCAAGGTGCAGAATGTTCCCAGTGCCCAGAAAGTCCTCTCGTCCCCTTCCTGACGTGGGCACTTTTAGGCAAAGACCTGTGTGTGCAGGGTGAGCATCCCTGGCTTGAAATCCCAAATCCCGGATGCTCTGGAATGCAGTGCTGTCGTGCGTGCCGATGTGATGCTCCGGGGAGTATCTCCCCACGGCACGTTTTATTTTGGATTTTCAGGTTACGGATGCTGAACCGGTAAGTCTAATGCAAATACTCCAAAATCAGGCAAATCCAAAATCTGAAACACTTGTGGTGCCCGCAGTTTGCATAAGGGACTCTCAACCTGGGTCGTAGATGCTCCAGCAGTTGGCTTTCCAGGTGTGAGTGGTCTTGAGCCGCTGGGTGCAGCCGTGGTGTGTCCTGGGCGTTAGGACAGGGCCTCTTGCCCAAGAAGGAGTCGTGCTTGCTGGGGGTGGGGGGTGAGCTCGGACCGAAAGCATCCAGCCCCCGAGCCCCCTGACGCTGCCCTGGTCCTCAGGCGTCTTCCCCGAGGACGAGCTCCCGGAGAAGGCCTGCAGGAGTCTGCTCGAGGGGAGGCGGAAGAAGAAGAACAAGAAGCGTTTGCCCAAAGCGCGGTTGCAGCACAAGAAAGGTAGGACTCAAGTGCCCGTTAGCCGTGAAGGTGCTGGCGTCACCTGTTGTCTCCCCAGGGTGGGAGTGCCAAGTCCCCCGTCCTGGGTGCCCATGTCCACGTGCCCTGCGTGGTTGCAGCCACAGGACACGCGGTCTTGGTGCCTTTCCTGGCCCACAGCTGCTGCCGGCTACACACGTGCCCCGCAGGCGGGAGGCCGCTGTCCTGGCCACTGCCTCTTACCAGCCATCCTGCCCCTGCGGCCCGAACCCCGCTCCCTCCGCATGCCCCAGCCCTGCCAGTCTCGTCCCTGACTTCAGGGCTTTCTTCCCTCTCAGCCCTCCATGGCCACTGAGTGTAGTTGGCACAGGTGTCCTCTAGGGCTGCCCTGGGCCCGAGGCAGGGAGGGCCGTGCGCACAGTGCAGAGGAGGGAGGTGTGGCCCCGCCCCGAGCTGGGAAGCCCTCCACGTCACCCCCTCTGTGCTCACCCAGCCCCGGGACCACTGGATTTATCCCTACTCCAGCCCAGGCCACCTGCCTCACTGAGGCCGGTCATTTCCCAGCTGGGCAGTGGCCTCTGGCCTGGCTCGAGTGCCCGCGCCAAGAACCATCTTTACGGCCTATTGTGCAGCAAGTGGAGTTAAAACTCCCGGCCCTGGCGCTGCTAGCTTGACCCTCTGGCCAGGGGTGACCCTCGGCCGGCCCTCCGCCTTCGTGCCTCTCCTCCCAGTCTCCCGACCCTCCCCACCTGGTCTTTCTGAGCCCCGTTCCTAGGTCTGCCTTCCCTGGTGTCGTGAGCCAGCAGAGGTGGCCCGTGGGCTTGGTGTCCACACTGGCTGTGGACCCCCTTGCAGGCTGTCGCGACTGCGTGGTCCCGTGCCCCCGGTGCTGGCGTCTGCAGTCACAGGATTGAAGTGAGTGAAACGAGCCCCTGTGCTCACGGCGTCTTATTCTTTGGTCAGGGAAAGGTGACCAGGAGGACGGGAGCGCAGACCCGAGCTCAGGAGTCCAGCGTGCCCAGCCCCGGGGCCGCAGCCGTGGAGGGGCTGGCAAGAGGAAGAGGACGCCTCGGCAGCCGTCCGGTGCCCGAGCAGAGGTGGCCGACGTCCAGGAGCCAGAGAAGAAAAAGAAGCGGATCCTGGGGAGCAAGAAGTGACGTGGCTGGCCCAGGACAGGCGCGGCGTTGGGTGAGGGCGGGGAGACCCGGGCCCGACCCCTGGACTCGCCCCAGCGGCTCCTCAGCTGACCCTGCGGGAAGGCGACGGTGCCGGCCAGGGCTGGGGAGGGTGGACCCGGCACTCGGCACCAGTGTCCCAGGAAATGCTTTCTCCAGAGAGCCACTGCCTGCGACTGCGATGACTTTGGGTGAGAGGGCAAACTCTGAAGACTGAACCGCACCTGTGTCAGGGCCTGGTCACCTGCGCCATGCAGCAGCCATTAAATAAAACGCGTCGGGTCCTCACCAGAGATGCTTCAGGCACGTCCTGCAGGCTCTTCTGGGTGGGAGACGCCGGCTCCTGAGCGCTGTTCACGTTTCGTGTCCCCTGCGAGGGGAAATCTGTTCACGCACCTCGGGAGAAATCTGCACAGAGCCGCCAGCGTGTCGCCTGGGCTGTGGACGGGCTCTTCTACTTCCCGCTTCTGCGCTTGTGTCTGGGGCTGCGCAGGGGACTTGTCCTTGTGTGAGGCCCCCTGGTGCTTGTGGTGCCTCTGCCAGGACCCTCGCCCTCTGCAGCGGGGGCCGCCTCATGCCTGACGTCCCAGGCCTCCCGGCCCAGCTGGCACAGGTCCGTTCCAGCCCTGCTGCTGGCCCGAGAGGGCCTGAGGTGGCTGCACCCCCCCAGAGCCTGAGGGAGGGCAGGTCCCCCTGTGGGGACGGAGGTGTGCGGGGTGCCCCGGGCACAGCAAGGAGAGCCCCGTCCACCGTCCAGTGCCACGCTGATGGCTGAGTTGGTGACGAGAGTGTCGTGGGTTTAGTTCATGTTCAAGTCCTGTGGGTCCCGGCCGGCCAGGCCATGCGGGGCTCAGGCCTGTGGGCGAGAGGCCTGGGCTTGGAGTAGACTTGGGGTGAGGAGGACCCAGGCCTCCAGCTGTCGCCATGCGACTGCTGAAGGGGACTCGGCTCTCTGGAGCCCTGCCGCTCACGAGCGCGGCCCACGGGAGGGCGGTGGCACTTGGGGGCACCTCCTTTAGTCCCGCTAGCTGGGCAGTCCTGGGCTGGGAGCAGGTTAGGGGCCACGGAGAAGAAAAGGCTGTGGCCAGGTCGCCTGTCCCAGACGCTATGGTTCTCTCTTCAGGGACTTAAAAAGGTGAGTCCATCACGGACAGTAGGTAGTGAGAGCCAGGCTGTGATCCCGCCTGCCTGGCCCTTCACAGCGGTGGGGGGGAATCACTGGCGCCACTTTGGCAGAGAGATGTATAATAAATAATGCTTTGTGGTTTTTGTTGGCATTTTTGGTCAGAGTTGGAAACAACCATATTATAAAACTTTTGAAGAAAAGAAAACTAGTTCTGCCTAGTTGCAGTTCTTAAACCATAAGCCACAGTGACTTTTGTTCTTTCCTGACATTTTGTTCATGGGGGGTTTTGCTGTTGCTGCATCTGAGCTGCCATTTTCAGGCCCTGACGTGTGCACGGTTCCCGGGCCTTCGGGATCGCTTGAAAGCTGCGCTGTGCTCACTGCATGAACCACTGAATTCCCTCCTGTTGCTGCGCTTGTGACTTTTTAGAGCCATGGTCTCTCTGCGTCACCTAGCATGGGGGGCAGTAGCTGTCCACAGGCATGGCCGTGGCACTTCCTGCTGGGCGCCAGCCATCCTCCCACCTCAGCCTCCCGTCCCTGGGCCTGCAGGCGCCCCCGTGCCTGGCCGTGGGTTTGTTGGTGGAGAGTTGGGAACAACTTGGGGATGCCTTGCTCCTCTGAGCCTGGGTTCCGGTTGACGGAACGCCGTGCTGCAGGGCGGGGCAGGTGGGGGAGCTCTGGTTACTGCAGTGCGTGTGCCAGCCGAGGCCTGGCAGGGGTGCCCTGCATGGGGATCTGTGTGCCCCCCGCCAGCCAGGTAGGACCTGGGCAGCAGGCCCCACGGTTGTCCGGAGTCTCTAAGACCCCGTCAGCTCCAAATGGAATTTTCTACTGAGAAGAGAAGGGGCAACCCTAAAGCCGGTGGTGAGCAGCTTGGAGCTTGTGCTGGGCCTGGCCCGTCCATCCCTGGGCGGCTGTGTTTCCCGCACCGATCCGGCTAGAAGGAGCCTCGGCGGGCGGGGCGTCTCCTCCCCAGGCAACCATGACTAGGGGTTTGGAGACTCCCCAAACACAGTCTCAGGCTGAGGGTGGACTGGGCGCCTTCCCTTCAAGCGGGTTTCTTGGCTTTGAGCTGGTGAGGCAGACGCGTCCACACTGAGCTTGTGCTGCTGACCACTCTGCTCCTGCAGCCTCACGTGTGCGAGTGTGCACACGCACTTTAAGGTGTCCATCTACCTGCCTACCTGTCCACCTTCCTACCTGCCCTCTGTCCATGGGTTGTGACCTCAGAGAACAGTTGATTGGAGAACCGAGGTGAATCTATCTGCAAAGTAACCCATCCCCTATGGTGCCTCCCTCACTGTCATCCCCCATGACAGTACCACGCATGGGGACCGTGTTGGCCTGGAGCCCTGGCCCCCTACCGTGGGCAAGGGGCAGGGTGGGGGTGAAGCTGTGGGTCCAGGGAGCGTGGCTCAGCCCTCTCTGGTTCTGCCTCCCCCACCCACCTTCTGAGTCACCTCCCTGTCTCACCTCCTTGGGAGCCACACAGTTGCAGTCCCACCAGCCGCCTCTCAGGGGCGCCCTTGGCCCTGGAATGGGTGCTGCCAACCTGGGTGGCCCAGGAGCAGCTCCAGTCTCTCCAGCTAGGCTTGGGTGGGGACGCTGTCCCCCACCGCCAGGCACCCAGCAGGCAGAGCACTCCTTTGTTCTCACCTGAGTGAGCATAGAGCCTCCACAAGCACCTCCTGGGGCTGGCGCCCCCTTACCTGGGAACCGGCAGGTGGCCCCTGCAACCTTGGCCCTCCCACCACTGTCCCTTCCTTGTGACTAGGCAGGTGGTCGGTGGCCAGGGCCCCAGTCTCTGCAGTGGGACTCAGTCTCCCTGACCCTTACCCCCCCCACACTCCACCCCCACTGTGGGGTGGCCCCTGCTGGGCTCCTGCTGGGGGGGGGCCCTGTAGGTGAGGCCCCTGTGCCGCCCCCCCACATGGAATGCTTCTTCCCCAGGAGCCAGCCTGGCCCAGAAGACACCTGTGACCCTTCCCTCCAGGGTCCATGCTGGGGGTCGGTGCCAGTTGCTCCACCCCCTCCTCTTCCAGAGCCCCCCAGCTCTCAGTTCCAGCTGCTGGGAACACGGGGCCCCAGGAAGACGCCTTGCCACTGTGGTGGGTGAGGGCAGCCTTGTGTCCCAGCGCCCCAAAGGGCCACTGAGTCCCAGCGCAGCCTGTGGAGATCAGCCCTGCGTGAAGCCCGTCCTGCTGAGGCTGGCGTCCCTGGGTGCAGCTGCCGCCCCGCTGGCAAAGGCCTAGAGAAATCAGCTTCCCGCTCACGACCCGACCGCCTTCCAAAGCCCCCAGTCACTGCGGGCAGGTTGCAGGACAAGGCTTGAGGATGGGAGGCGGCAGGAGACTCGTGGCTTCAGGGGGCCACACCTGGATGCCTCCACATAGAGGCTGAGGCCGTGGAGGATGAGGCAGTGCTGGTCCCACTGCCCCGTGACAGGCAGCGGGGATGGCTGAGCCCTGGATCCTGGTCCCCCCTTGGCAAGCCCCTTGCTGCTCTGGGCCTCAGTTTCCTCGTCTGTGCAAAGGGTGGGCCCCGAGCTCACTGGAGGCTCCACGGGGCAGGGCACAGCGGCACTGAGTCTGGTCTGTGCCTGGGCGAGGGCTGCGTGTCTGGAAACTCCTAGTGGAAGTTAACCCCGGCCTCCGCCCTTTCCCAGGGTCGGCTCGGTCCCTGATTCTTCAGGATTCGCCCAGCGTGCTGCAATAACAGCCTGTCACATGCCAGCACACGGGCACGGCCGGGCAGAGGGTGCAGGGTGGTAAGACTGCACTTCCAGGGCGCACCCCAGAAGGCTACGTCAGCGCACACAGCCCTGCCCTGTCCCAGGGCCGCGCCCAGCTCCAGCTGCTGTCCCTGGGTCCTGAGTGGAGCCTGCCCAGTGCCCAGTGCCCGGCTGCAGCTCCTCTCCGGGTTTGCTGCTTGGGTTCTTGCAGGTCTGGCCACTGGGGCAGTGCCGCCACCTCTCTGCATCCTGGCCTCGGGCCCCTTTGCTTCGTTTCTCAGACATTTGCACAGCACGATCTGGGTGATGATATTTGGTTATTCTTTGCCATGGCCATGCCCTCTGTGCCTCCTCCCTGTGCCCTGGCAGCCCCCAGGGTCTCCCTCTGGGTAGCTCACTGCATCGTAGCTCACTGCAGCCTCACACTCCTGAGCTCAAGGGATCTGCCCGCCTTGGTCCCCAGAGTGCTGGGACCACAGGCGTGGACCACTGCGCCCACCCGGCCCTCTTCCAACCCCGTCCCCCCGCGTTTCCTTGCTCATTTCCTACCTGGTGTCTAGTCAGGCCCCGGTTAGACGTCTGTGAGGCATGACAGAGTCTGAGAACATGGTATTGGACCGCCACACTTCAGTGCCCAGCTCTGCACATGAGGTGTCTGGCAGGGCCTGGCTGGCCCGCTCAGGCCGCCGGGCTGAGACCAGCTGTGTCCGGGGCTGCTGTCCCGCCTGGGCCTGGGCCTTGCAAAGTCACCGGCTGTTGGCCGGACTCAGGTCTCTGTGGGGGTCGCCTGAGTCCCCGCTGTCTTGCTGGCTGTTGCCTGGTGCTCACTCTCAGCTCCAGGAGCTGCCCGCAGTCCCCTGCCCTGGGGTCCCTCCACCAGGGGCGGGTGGCTTCTTCAAGGCCAGAGGGGAAATTCTTGAATTTGAAAAGTGGGGGGATTTGGATCTGAGACACTTCAACTCACAGAACCCAGACTCCAGGGGCTTAGGCAGGGAAGGGAATGGGGACGCCCTGGTGCCAGACTCGGCGAGGTCACGGCAGTGCTTCAGTGTCAGCTTCGGGGTGTGCCCCACTGGGGGGTGGCTCGGGTGTCCCCAGCCAATGCCCCGGCTGCGCTGACCCCGCTGGGTGGTGGTCCGAGGGGGACGTACACCCCCAGGGCCCTGCCCACACAAGCTCTGGTCCGATGGAGGCTCTGGCGGGTGGCAGTGAGGGGCATCTGCTCCAGTCTCTACCGGGAGGGCTTGTCACAGCCGGAAACCAGCCTTCACCTTTGCTTAAGAGAAAACTTCTGATGGGAGCAGAGACGTGTGTAAAAGTAAGCAGCTCTCAGCTCTGAAGCTGAGAAGTAGCTGAGGACCAGTCGTGGCCTGGTGGGTCTTCCTCTCTGCAAATGCGCCCTCTGCCCCCGGCCTTCTGCAGGTGGCTGCATGCTGCAGGCCTCCCCCACTCCCTCCCTCTCCTCCCCCAGCGGGGGCCGTATGACAGCCAGGTGCAC